GGGATGATGGAGGAAAGCCCAGAAATAAATGTTACAGCATTGGCCATGCTTTTCTTCACCTTTCTTCTCCTTAGAGCTAAGGAATCGGCCCGCCAGTGGCTGGCCCAGCCTGGAGGACTTCCTGTCACTCTCCTCTGTGCGCCTGGGGGGCAGGACCTGCAGGTGCAGGAGTCACAGTGTCGTCTGGCTGCCGCGAGCCTCGCTCCATCAGTGATTCCACTGATGCAGACCTTGTTTTTTGCAGCTCTGCTCATAGTTGAGCTCAGTTTTATTCATGTTCTCTAACCTAGGTCTCTAAACTGAGGCATAACCTTGGAGTGTACTTGGGCTTCAGAGTCACCTGTGGGGAAACTGAGTACAATCTCAGTGACACGAAGCGACTCCAGAGGCCAGTGTTGCATATCGACCCTGGTAAACATGGGCGTAGAGCAAAGTGAGTGGGCACCCAGCAATCTAAACACGGGCCGTTAAACACATGGTGTGTAGTAATGAAGAACTACCTTGTCGTGTATCTTCAGCACTGATTGGCTGGCTTTCCATTTTGTATGTAGGGATTTGAAATTTAATAATTGTATATCCTAGGTGGGCTTATGAATGCTTCCTAAATATCTACCAGTAAAATTAAATAGAAATACGGAGTAAACACAATTATAGCAACATTTTAGACTCAAGTTACAAGCAAATGGCTGATTCTGAAAAGTAAATGTCATTGTAAACTTTCGGAAACTATAGCGTTTCACATGAAATTGAACATCCATGTATCTGAACCTAATTTGGATGTGAAATGCTTTGAATAAATTGTATTCTAAAAACCTGTGGGCTTCTTATTTTTATCTGGTCAAACTTTGCATAACCACTTTTAGCCAATTCAAGGACTTCACTCTGGAGATTTTTAAGAATTGTGTGGTGGCCTCTTGTTTCCAGGCTCCTTGGGGTGCCATGCGGGGGAACCAGTGAAGTCACCGCTGATCTGCCGAAGGACAAGCAGGCAGCTAGTGTGACGTCCCTGGGGTACAGCGTTGACAAGAATTAGCAGGGTTGAGAATGTGACAAGCCAACACAACGTCAGGGATTTTATCTCTAACATCAGACCGTTTCACAGCTGCATAGGGCACTCGGATCCACTCAAACACTCCTGTCCTCTCCCGTCCTCAGCACCCCTTCCCTCTCTGCCCTCACGCTCCCAATTCCTTTCTCTCCAGTGCGTCCTGGGCTGGCATCAGTGTCACCTTTCTGTTACTTTCTCGGGCCCTCTTCCCACCAGTGTATCGATTTTTCTCTCCAGGGCTCCCAAAGCCACTGGAAATTGGAGTGAGTATCGCGCAGGTTGTGAGCCCCCTGCAGACCAACCAGCTCTTTGTCTCCTGTTTGTATCCCCTGCCAAGCAGGGTCCTGGCTTTGAGTTCACGGGAAATCGTGTTGCATAGTTAACACCAAACTGCACTATCCTGTGCCAGGCACCCCTCTTGCCTGATACTCCTGGGGAGAAAACGAGGACTTACAGAAGCTGCACGGCCAGAATCACAGCCGTGTGCCACATGGCCAGTCCTCTGAGTAGTCATTGAGTCCCTGTGAGAACATACAAGGTGAGCACTCCCTCTGGCTGAAAGTAACACTGGACTCTCAGTATTCTATTTATTCAGAAACAAAAAACAAGAAAAATCCTTTTCGCAAGATGTTCCCAGTCTGGACCGCTTACATTGGGAGGTTATCTTCTTCCATTTAATCAAACACCCGTTTCCTGGCATAATCGCCAAGTCTGCGGATTCCAGTCAATTATTAAGCAAGCTTTAGAGTGCAAATTGTTCTTCCCAGTACAATGCATTCCTGAAGTCTGCAATGACTGAACTGCATACTTTTTTCCACGTCTGTGAGCACAGTTTTCATCTAATATTTGTTTTTATGACAAAACATATTTGTAGAGTTTTTGTGAGTGAAAGCAGCGTTCCTGAACTGCGTTGGAACTCATACCCGCAGGGGGCACGGAATCACGGTAATTTACGGCTTTGGTGGTGTACAGTCGGGTGTATGAGTGTTTCCATTAGAAGTGTATCCTGTGGACTTGACAAAACCCATATTATGCAGCCTGGGTACAAATAAAAGAAATGTCTGCATTAGCAAATTCAAAATAGGCACTTACCTTTTATTTGCGTGAAGAAAAGAAACATCATTGTGTACAGGTAGAGCAAAAACACTGAATCAGCTTCAGACTTGGGGCCCGTGCACAGTCGTCGGGACTGGTCTGCTCTGGGAGCCACGCTTGTAAGTGGTATTCTCTCCATCAGCCCTGCCCCAGGTGTGCACTTGCTGAAATTCTCTTCATTATTTCCTTCCTTGTTTCCTCCCCAGGAACGTGACCCACAGGTTAGAACAGCCTGGCACTGGTGCCCTGGAAGCGTTGTTGAGGGAATCAGTGGGCACACCTCTTTCCATGCCAGTTTTTTGCTGAGATATGTGATCTGTGTGCATTGGAGGATTTTCTCACACACTGGTTTTCCCAAGAAGTTGAAGATGCCCCACTTTGTAGCTCAGAGCTTAGATACGGGGGTGGGGGGAGGCCCATGAAGCCCTTTAAAGCCTGTGTTCTCATGTGTAAACACTCGCGTCTGCTGTGTGGAGCAGGTTGCTCAGACGTGTAATAGCCACAGCCGAACCCAGTCACAAGGACCAGAGGGGCGACGACCACAGAGCCCTAGTTTTAACACGGCAGGAGAGCTTTTGGCAGTTCGGGGAATGCCTCCCGTTCTGCAGAAAGGCCAGGCCATCATGCCAACAATTAATGTGAGCGCCATTCCAGAGAAAGCTGGTGTTTACCAGCTATGAAATTGATGTGGGTTTGAAAATCTCAACCCACAGCTTGAAACACTATTGTTTTAATTATTAAACATGCTTGAAACATGCTCAGCTGTTCTTGCCTGGCGGCCAAAAAGGAGCTGGGGCCCTCCTGCCTGCCCCCCTGCAGACACTGCCTGGGGCTGACTAGTGATGGGGACTCGACTGATTGCTCTATAGCCTGACCCCTTTAAAGGAAGAATTGATCAGGTCAAAACAGATGACAGATGACTTGAGATTTGAATGACCTACTTTAGGCCATTTGCAGATAAGGATTTTTATTTTCAGGTATGAACATATGATGTATTTCCCAAATGCATGCAGGTTAATCAGCAAGATGCTTCCTCGCTGCCCCATCTGAGCCCCTTGCTTCCCTCCTTGGAGCCTGCCTCTGCCCGAAGGACAGTGACACAGGGTGGCTGTGCTGAACCCCTCTCCAAGGGACTGATTTGTGTCTCAGTAGAACTCCAAGCCCCGGGTCTGTAGCTAACACTTGGATTTGGTGTAGACTTTATTATCACTGCTGCTAGCTGTTTAAGACCAAAACCAGAAGAAAAGCAGGAGAAAGGAAAAATGCAAACGCACAACCTAGCTCTGTGAGCCTGACCAGGGAGACTAGTTTGACCCAGGGCAGGATTATGTCCTAATGTTTATAGGAATGAGAGCAGTTAGATCACATCAGGAAATATTTGAGTCAATACAGGTAATTATTTTCTGCTTAATTAAAATGTCCCCGTCAATAGCATAATTTACAGTTGGAGGGCTTAAAATGCAAATTCCAAAACCGTGGCCTTTGGAATAAGAGCCTGCAAACCGGAGCCTGAGGCCAAATCCAGCCGCTGCCCGATTGTGCAAACAGTGTTTCGTTGGAACACAGCCACACCACCCATCCTGTACAATGTCTGGTCGCTTTGCCACCACAGAGCTGATTGAGCAGTTGCCCGCTGATTGAGACTTCATGGCCCGCAAAGCCCCAAAGGTTTGCTCTCCGACCCTCAACAGGCAGAGTTGACAGTCTGCTTCCGATAGTGACCCAAGCAGACCCCTACCCCTCGCAATGCAGGGGGGGCCGAAGTGAGCTGCATTCGTGCCTCTAGAACAGTGAGGGGCTCTCCCTGGCCTCACCTGCCCTAGGAAGCATTTTAGAAAAAACAGACCGTTGGAATCAGTCTCTGGGGGCAGGTCCACACTGGCATTTGGTAAAAGACCCAGGGTGGGCAAGCAGGGTGAAGAACCGGAATGCTCTAGGGGGAAAACCATACCCGAGAGAAATGGCTGTGGAGTGTCTCCATCTCAGCGGCCTTGGCCCTTCTCCTCGCCCCTGTGGCCCTGCACACCAGAACCCTCGCAGTTGTTATTAAAGTCCCCCGCAGTCTGAGCAGCTAGAACTGCCATCGGGACAGACAACACGTCTCAGTGGCTGTCACCCCTCTCTGCACGTCAGAATCACTGGGGAATTAAAGGGAAAACCCAATGCCCGCTTTCTCCTGCTCCCTTCTCCATTCAGGCCTAGACACCAGGCGACCAGTGCAGGTGGGGGTGGGGTGGGGTAGGCCCAGGAGGGTGAGGGAGGCATTTGTACAAAGGCAGGGACAGCTTGCTGTGGGAGATGCAGCCCGGGCCAGGTGAGGGGGTCAGCAGGCCTGTGGGTGCAGTGTAGGTGGAAAGTGGGTTACACACAGGGATGAACCCAATGAATGAAAATACTAAGGGTGATGGAAGCCAAGCCTCTCAACTGGAGGAGGGAGCTACCGCTATGAGAAGGGAGAGGACTAGCATCAACTGTGCTGCAGGATTGGAGTTTGACATGTTAATATCCCTTAGCTCCTTCCACTGATGGGCCCGGGAGGGCGACACCCCAAAGGTAATGAGCACACTCTCACTCAGATCGTGGCCTTCGAACGCCGTTTTCCACGGAAAGGAACCCATGTTCTTTAGGGCAGCGCCTGCTCCCTGGACCGGGTGGGAAGGTCCTAGATGAGCCTGAAACACTTCGTTGTGAAAGAAAATGTTCGAAGAGGGACGGAGACGTGTCCGGAGGATGCAGAAGCCAGCTTGAAAGGGCTCTCGTGGCCAAATCAGGGACAATTTGAGCATCGAAATTAATAACGAGTGTAAAGGAGTATAACGCAATGAATAAAATAGGAAACCACGAGTTCGTATTGATAAATTTAAAAATGAATAAATGAGACGTTTAATGAGGAATGGAAAATTTACATAGTTTCAAAGTGCTTACCTAGAAACGACTTATTTATTACAGAAGCAGGGCAAGCAGCGAGTTTTCTGTGGGGAAGCCAGGCACACCCCTTTCGTCCTGTGATCAAAGCGAACATCATAACAAAGGGACAAACCGCAGTCACCTGCCAGGAAGCGGTGCTGAGGTATACCTGCCAAAGGGGCATGGCCTCAGCTTAAACACCAAAATACACCAGATAAATCCGAATCCAGAGCCAAGGCCAGGAAAGTTAAGGAAAGCTGAGGGGTGTGGTAAACTGAAGGAGACCACAGAGAACTGTCCACTAGCTGGACACTCGATCCTGAGCTGGACCCTTGGCTGTGAAGGACATTGCCAGGGCAGCCTGTGAACCTCGAGTCGGGTCTGCCCTTCGGATGGTGGCGACTACGGAGCAATGATGTGAATGTCCGGAGTCTGACGGTTGTACCGTGTAAGAGCGCAGCTCTTCCCATTCAGATCACCCAGGGATCTTCCTAAGATGCAGATTCTGGTTCAGAGGGCCTGGGCGGGGCCCGAGGCTCCGTCTGCCTAATCAGTGCTCAGGCAAGGCCCCTGCTGCTGGCGGGGGGAACCGAGGTGAACAGTTTTGTCTCCAATACACCCACCTCACCCCCTTTTTTGGTTGCAGACACTGGCTTTCCTTTCGGAACGATGCCCTCCCTGCTCTCCGAGCTCCTGTGTTGGGTCACATGGTCCTCAATGCTGAGACATGAAGCATGTGAGAGCCCAGGGCTGGTCCTAAGACCCAGCCAGGGCCAGTGAGATGCAACCCTAAGAGACCTGGCTGAGCTGACATAGCCTCTATGAAACTCTTCACCTTCCGGAACCTTCTTAGGATTCCAAGCCTTTCTGTGGCTCATGCCTTGCCTTCTAACCTGTAAAAGGCTTTTCAGACACCCACAGTACTCCACCACATAGCAGCTGTGTGACCTTACTTAGCATACTAAACTTGTCTGTGCCTCGGTTTCCTCATCTATAAAAATGGGATACCACCCACCCCACCACAAAGTTTACTTTGAGAAGTGAATGTCATCGACATGAAGTGTTTTGTTTTGTACCTGGCTCAGAGTAGGTACTCAATAAATTTTCCATTGTTCAGTTTGGCTTTTGGAGCCCATGGCCCCACAGGAAGAGAAGGGTAGCAACTCACTGGTAGGTTTCAGGTCCTTTCCGTACTGAGAGTGGCTCGTTGCTGAGTTTGGGGACTCTGGAGGAGGAGGCTAATATTCTACTAGCTGTTATGTTTTCGATTCCTCTGAGCCCTATCGATTCTTGCACAGTTTTGAAGCAGCTCAGGTGCCCATCAGTAGATGAGTGGATAAAAAAGCTGTGGTACATTTTCACAGTGGAAATCTACTCAGCCGTAAAAAAGAAGGGACTCTTACCTTTTGTGACAGCATGGATGAACCTGGAGAGCATACGCTAAGTGAAATAAGCCAAATAGAGAAAGGAAAATACCATATGGTTTCGCTTATATATGGCACCTAATGAACACAATTAACTAATGAACAAAACAGAAAGAGACTCATAAATACAGAGAACAGACTGACAGCTGTCAGGGGAGGGGGTTGGGGAGCTGGGTGAAAAAAGGTGAGGGATTTAAGCCAACCCCCCCCGCCCCCCCAGACACAGACACCAGTGTGGTGATTACCAGAGGGACCGGGGGTGGGGGAGGGGAAGAGGGTACAGAGGGATAAATGGTAGCAGGAGACTTGGGGTGGTGAACACACAATAAAAAAAAAAGTCTTGCCTGTCCTAGTTACTTGATTCCTACCTAACTGGCTTCCATCCTGTATTGAGTTGTCTATGGAAATGTGTATCAAAAGGAAATAAATTAGCAACGTTGTAGGTGTCCCAAGTAAGGCTTTCACATTCCCAGTAATCCAGGCTCTGACCAGTGATCAGAAATCCCTTTCGACTGTCTTTATTCTACTGCCATCCTGTGGCCAACTAGTGCCACTGCAGCACTGTGGGCCGGATGTAGCTAAGCAGCTGACTCTTCTCCTTAGGCCTTGGAAGGGGCTCCGTGTGGGAAGGGGAGTGCAATGGAAGGGTCTACTCAAGCCCCCCACCAGCGGGCAGGAGGCTGGGTGTGCATCACCAGTCTCGACTTGGTTTCTGTTTGATGAGCTTTAAGCACACAAAGTACAGGGCCACGAAGCCGCCACTGATGCTGATGAGGATGAAGTAAATGGCGTAGAGCGGGTAGGAGTCCAGGTGCATCGAGCTGAGGATCTGGAGACACAGACATCAGTGAGCTCCTCAAGAAGATGCTCGGATGGATGCCATGTACGGGGAGTCCAAGGCCTCGGCTACTTACTTTGTCTCCCGGGACAGGGATGGTGAGGTTGCCGACTGCCAGGTGGTACATTTGCCCTTTAAACTGAATCTGCATCAGCCCCTCGAAACACCACCGGAGGAAGGACACGTGGGAGATCCAGGCAGGTACTGAGAACAGCAAGAGACACGTCATCCACACGGGCCCCTTGCTCCCTGAGAAGCGGCCTGGGGAGAGGGTCGTGGTAGCTGTGTCCCTGGTTAAGCGAGTCCCCTGAAGCAGCAGGGAGAGGAGGGGATCAAAGGTGAAAGGGCAGAGAGGCAGCTTGGGACAGGGACTGGGACGGGAGACTGAGGGGAAGGTGGGGCCAGGGGGTGCAGGGTCTCCCCACGTTGGTCCCTAACGACTGCAGAGAGTAAGTAATGAGGTGCCCGTCCCAGCACATGCTCGGCCCCCCAGAGCTGGTGCACTGTGGAGACTCAGCAGCCCCAAACTAGAGACTTTGCATCTGTGTCCTGACCCTGCGGAGGTGTGATGCTGAGGGGAGGAGGAGGAAGCTGAATCCTGCCTGGTGGGTCAGGAACGGACTGGCAGACAGAGGAGTGTGTGGTGTGGGAGCTTCCGAAGAGCTGGGTGAGGCAGCAGGGAGTGAGCAGCTGGCCCCCCTCCCCATGATTCACCCTTCAAAAGCTCACTCCGCACAGGTGAGGGTTGAGAGGGGCGTGGAGGGGCCAGTGTACAGAAACGAGGCTATTGCGTTGGCCCAGTATCGGGTGATAAGACCAGGGCCAGGGCATAAGGCAACGGGACATTTCAGAAAGACTTGGGAAGCAGAATGGACCTGGCTCACTGGTGGTGTGGAGGGTGAGGGACAGTCAAAAGTGACTTCCGGGTGTCAGCTGGGGTTTATCAAAAAATGCCATCCACACCCCCTTGAGGAGTTAATCTCTTGGCCCGCAGCCCAGCTGGCTGGGGCACCTGCTCCTTGAATTGGACCGAAATGGTGAGTTCTTATCTCCAGGCCAAAGCAGGCCTAAGCCACAGAAGGCCTTCAACAGCTTGACCAGGTGAGGGGAGCAAGCCTCACCTGTCCACAGGTTGTCCAAGCTTATCATGAAGCCCCCGGTCAGGTAGAAGGAGTTGTAGAGAGCGTTGCCGAAGAAAGAGGACATGTGGAAGGTGGGGAGCAGGGCGGCGGCACACAGGGCCATGATCCTGCAGCAGAAGACCACCAGCCACACCAGCAGGAAGTGCAGCAGGAAGGGCTCGGGGCTCGGCCGCAGGTTGGCCAGCCAGTAGGTGGGCATCCCGTAGATGAAGATGTAGGCACAGTGCTCCGGAAGCTCCCCAAGGATCTGCAAAGAACAGCCCTTGCAAGGATATGCAGCCAATGTTTTTGTTTGCTGCTATTCTTTATGAACAGCTAAAGAGAGCAACCCCCCCCCAGTGATGTTAACCTTCCCTCCTGGGATGCTCAGGCTGCAGCAGGTGGCGGTGGGCGCGTGGGATACTTGAGCCCAGGCTCACTGCTGGCTTCCCCCTGCGCATGCCATGTGCTCCCTCCGAAGCAGGTCAGTGCAGTTTTCCCAGCGAGTATCTGCCCCACTAACACCTGGTTTCAAGTTCCCACACCTTGGTTTCTGCCCAGGCCTCGCAGCTGTGTGGCCTTGAGATAGCCATGTAACCTCTCTGAGCCTGCACTTCCTTGCAGTGAGAATAGTAACTCCTGCCCGACCTGCTCCAGGCACGTGTTGGGACTGGAGAGGTGAAGTATGCTACAGGTTTTCCCACTTTTTCTTTTTTAGGTTTCTGCTGACCAGAAAGTGTCATTCTTAGTCCACAGTCCTGGCCTTCTGGTAAGTGTTTAGAAAAAATATATCAAGTCTCTGAAAGTGCCCTAAGGACGGTGCCATCTACAACTGGTTCAGCAAAAGGCTCCCCAGGTCAGCAAAAGGCTTCTCTAACTTCTGTACAATGTGGTGCAACTTTCTCTGCCCCCACCCTGCACTTGGGGCAGTCACTCACTCTCAGCCCCAACCAGTCACCTTGGCAAAGAAGTATGGCCCGGCGGTGTACAGCCCGTCTTCCAGTTCATAATAAAGCATTGCCCTCTCTGAGTGGCCTAAAAACGGAGTGAGAAAGTGAGGTTAATGTACAGTGTTTCTGTTTTCTAGTGCCTCTCAGTACAAATTAAAAGTAGTTATAGTCCCTGAATGTCTACTATTTTTTTAAAACTTGAGTAATAAAACTGTCCTGGTTTAGATGTTTGTGACTCTGTGACTTGTGCGCTGCTGTCAAGTATAAATCCTGCGAGGAGAGGAATGCTTACGACTCCTTGGTAATTTGCCTTCATTTGCATACTAATGTTCATGCGTGAACTTTGAAAACAATGATCTTTTAAGTCTCAATCGTGGTGACGTTATTCAGTGAATGTGTTTTTCCTGAGAACTCAGAGCCCCGCAGGTGGGCTCTGGACCGGTTCCGAGGGTGGCTGACACTGTGTGTTCTGCTGCACCAGGCGGCTCATTGGGAGCCACGGACACTCACATTTGGCGATGACGTCCAGGATCACATTGAAGGGGATGAGGGCTCCGATCATGAACAAAAGGGCCGCTGTGTCCATGAAGGAGACCTTCACAGCCCCGTGGCCGTAGTAGAGGAACCCGATGGTCAGGGACATGAGGCAGGCCTCCGCCCCATGGATGAGTAGGGTTGGGAGGTCTCGAAAGTCGTTGGAAATCTGACGGCTTAAAAAATAAAAGAAAGAGATGCCAAGGGCACAACGGACGCCTGTCTTGTGACCTCGGCCGTGCCATTCAATCTCAGTAATGTTCATTGTTCTCATCTGTGACCACTTCACAGAGCTGCTGTGAGTATCAGGCAAGCTCACTGGTGAAAGTGTTCATCTCGTGATCAATACTCAGTAAAGGGTCATGTTACTTTTCTCATCGAAGTACGTGCCCTGTGATTTTACCTAAAGAAGCCATCCCGAGGAAATGACTCATCAGGTGTGTACAGAGGGAAGGAAGGATGTACAAAGATGTAGGCTAGAGTTACTTGTAACAGCAACAGTCTGAAAGAGTCTGGCCATCAGCACGGAACCAGCGAGGGAGTCAGCAGGTAAATGAGTTGCGGCCAGGTTGGAATGCCTGGCCAGATGGGGAGTCGAGGTGCTAAGCAACCCTCCCCCCTGAAGCCCTCCAAAATGATTACGGAACAAAGAACAATATGCAAAGTATGATCCTGGAACAAAGAACAACAGGCAGAGTATAACCCCATATGTGTGCATGGAGACGCCTAGCAAGGCTCCCACCGAAACTGGCCTCTGGCTTCCTCCGAGGGCCGGTTCTCCGGTACTGTCTGAACTCTTCCTCATGACCCTTCGAGATTTCTATGATCGCCTGGCCAGTAAGGATATTCTAATTTTGTTTACAGAATAAAAGTTGCAGGGATGCTCGGTGTCACAAGGGAGGGCCAGTGCTGTCTTGGCGATGTTGGCTTTTTTTCAAATGATTTACCTCTTTAAACTCACTTCGAATTTCAGTCCCTCCTTCGAATTCACTTTAGATGGAAAGGGCTTAATTTGATACAAGACTTCCAGGGTGGAGAGAGGGTGGGTAATGAGATGGCAGACGGTTACCTGATCAGCGTGGCGAACTGCTGCACGGGGCCCGGCAGCTCCGTGGGAGTCGGGAGGGGCTCCGTCTCCCTTGGGAGGACCAGGCTGTGAGGACGGAGAGTGTGTCATGGGGGCGCGGGGGTGGCCACCTTCTGAAGGGCTCCCTCTACCCTGAGCCACCCGGCCTGCCTCACCTCTTTGAACAAGTGCCCACGCCTGGCTCCCTGGCCTCCGCTTGCCACACGAAGTCGTTGAAGTCACGTACTTTTTCCCGAAACAAGGCTGCAAGTGACTGTGCCTTCTCCGTGGTGGCCACTTCCTGCTCTCTGCTCTGCCTGTCTATGCTGGTCAGGTCCACTGTAGGCAGAGGATGTGCGGCCATGGGTGACCTGCTCCCCGCACCTGCTCCCAGGGGAGGTCAGCGCAGAGAGGGCAGAGAGGGCCGGCTCGCCCTGCGGGGCCTGGCCGCATCTCTGGGAAGCCTGCCTCAGGGCAAGGTCCCTCTGTGGGCCCAGAAAGGGCCACAGCGGAGGGCCTGTGGGTGCTGACCCCCAGGCCCACACCCAGGCTTGTGACAGGGACTTGGGGCAAAGAAGGAGGCATTGGACCTTCAGGTTCAAAGGCCATGGCACAGTTCTGCCGTGGCTCCAACTCCAGCTGTCCAAGCAGCTTGTGATGAAGACTCAGCCTCCCAGGAGGACTGGCCAGGTGAGCGGCCAGGGTGAGGCTGAGCAGTCTGGCCCCCCGGGAGTTCTAGTTCTCCCTGTAAATTAGTAATTTGGTTTTTTAAGCATCCTGACCAAAATGGGAAGAATGTTTTAGCTGGAGGTGCCAGAGTCTCACCAACCATAAATAAAATCCTCACTGTCCCCAGGGAAGGGAGCCGACATGACAAGTCGGAGAGCCAGGCCAACTGCCTCCATCAGCACATTACCCTGGGGGGATGATACCTGGGCCCCAGACCACAGGCCTCCTCTTACAGGGCCACTGCAGTGCTAGGAAGGCACCCTCCCCGTCAGAGGCAAGGCCCTCCCAGCCCAGCCCCTCCCGGGCCTCCCCCCACTTCTCCCCTGGTCTTGGTGTTGTCCCTCCATCACTCTTCTTCCCTCATCCCATTTTCTTTTTTTTAAAGATTTTTTAAAGCTTATTTTTAGAGTGAGGGGAGGGAGAAAGAGAGGGAAAGAAAGATCAATGTACGGTTGCCTCTCAAGCGCCCCCAACTGGGGACCTGGCCTGCAACCCAGGCATGTGCCCTAAATGTAAATGGAACCAGCAACCCTTTGCTTAGCAGTCCGGCGCTCAATCCACTGAGCCGCACCAGCCAGGGCTCCTCCTCCCATTTTCATGGCATCTCTCAGGGACGGATAATGTCTGGGAGGGGTCTTATAAATTGTGATGTGTCCCCTCTTTGTGCAAGGCAGGAGCTCAGAAAGCCAGATTCTCTGAGCACCACCAGGCCCTGCACGCAGAGGATGAGGGTCAACAGCTCCAGGGCTTATAGGCAAGAGCCTCCACCAAAAAAAAAAAAAAAATACAATTAAAAGTAAAGAAAAAGAAAGTTTTTCTGAGGCCTACTATAGGCATTTGACTCCTGGTAACCCCACTCTGGGGTTACTGCAGTTTCTCCTGGTGGCCAGGTTGGCAGGTGCCCTCTGACCCTTCATGTGGGAACGGCTGGCCTGAGGTGACACACTGGCCAGAGGCCAGGCTGGCACCTGTGTGCAGGGAGCAAGGGTGAGCTCAGGGTGAGTTCACACAGGTTGAGGGCTGGTGAGAGTGTGCCGTCCTCCTAGAGGAGGGTTCGAGGGTGGGTGCCGGGAGGAGAGAGCGGCAGTAGGACCTGGAGGCAGGCTGGGGGCCAGAGCACCATCTGGGAATCCCAATTCTGCACCTTATGGCTATGCAAGGGGTTTAACTCCTTGGGTTCCTGCCTTCTTGTCTGTGAGGATGCAGATGACCTTGGCCTGGCAGGGCTTCGAGGGTCAAAGGGACACCCTTTTGTGATGGGGTGCCTTTGGGTCCAGTGTCTGCCCTCAAGGAGATGGTGCCTGTCACCAAGGAGATGGTGCGAGTCCCTTGCTGCACCAGGCTCTCCGGGGAGGAAGGCTGGGGTTCCAGCTACCTACGAGAAAGGCAGCTGCTCCCCAACCCCGGGCACCTGTGCGGCCTGACCGGCAGCCACCATGCTCCTTAGAGCCAGGCTCCGGGCACCTGCTTCCAGAGCAGGCACCTGGAAAGGCAGCTGTGCCCACAGGAAAAAGGACAGGTCCACCTTTCCCCTGAGGGCCAAATGCTGAGAGCTCAGGCCCACAAGCAGAAAGGCATCTCTGGTGCTGATGGAGCAATTTTTCTGTCTAGAGATTCACTAGCCGAGGCCACCACAAAGGCCCTGAGCTGGCCTGCACCCTGGGCCCTCTGCCACGGTGCCTCGGGGCTCCCTGTCTCTGTGGGTGCAGGTTTAAGGTTTTTCTGGAGGCCTCCCAATCTCAATTATCCTGTTTCTCTATAGAGTCTAAATAAAAAACACAATTCTGGAAACTGATCCAAACTCTCTTGGGTCGTTACGTCCCCTCCAGCTTGGAGCATCCCAGTGTCTTATCTATTGTGCACATGAGGTGGGCTATGCCAGAAGCTGCTTTTTTCATCTCCAGCATTTGATGCTTGGCAAGCTGACCCAGTCGGCCCACCCCCATCCTCAGTCCCGCTCTCCTGAGTCTTTCCACCAAGCCCTGGGGAGCCCCGTGCACCGGGCCACAGGCCCAGCTGGCTCACCGTAGAAGTCGGCAGGGTTGCTATAGCGAGGACAGGGGTAGCCAACTGCCGTGAAATACTGGACCATGTGCTGGGCTGCCCCCAAGTAGATGGTGATGCCAGACGCCATCAGAAGGACCAAGTCGAACAGCCTAAAGATGTCTGACCGAGGCTGGTGGAGGGAGATGAGCACCAGCCGGTTGCCTTTGGCCAGCCTGGACAGGGTTTTCACCAGGTTGTGGGCTGTGAAGCTGTCGAGCCCAGAGGTGGGTTCATCCAGAATGAGGATTCCTTCCCAATAGAGAGAAGAGCCTGATAAGTCGGCAGGTCTCTGGATGGACCCGGCCAAGCCAGGTGGGTGACACGGGCCCCCTCATGCCCGCCCGGCACCTGCCACCCTCACCTGGGTTCCACAGAAGCTGCACCCCAATGCTGACTCTCCGCCGCTCGCCCCCGGACACCCCCCGCACATAGGTGTTCCCCACGCGAGTGTTGGCGCACTGCCGCAGCCTCAGCTCCGCGATCACATCGTCCACCTGAGGACGAGAGGAGTCAGGGCTTCCGCGTCCACCTCCGTGGGCTTCCCTGACACATTTTGCCCCAGAGTATAAAACAGCTGCTCCTCTGGACGGGTGTAAAGCTCCAGCCTTCATTCCCCTGGTTCACGCCTTGTTCCTTGATCTGCCCACACAGCCTGAGCAGTTGCCATGGATCACACGTGTGTTGGGAACGTGGCCTTGTCTCAGGACAAGACAGGTGGGCTCCCTGCTCACACGAAGGACCACAACGCAGGTGAACAAACACTAATCAGGCATTTGTCGCCTGCTGTGAAGGGCACCAACTGGCCCAAGGGCCACGGGGCTTCAAAGGACAACTGAAGGGCCGGGCTGCACATGGGGTGGGTTTTTCCAGGTGGAGGGTGGTGAGCTGGGGCCTGAGTCAGGGAGGGCGGGGAAGGAGGTGACGACTTTGGGGGTCACCGGGGTCAGTTATTACCCTTTTGTTGCGCTGGGCCTGGGAGAAGGCTCTGGGCAGGCGCAGCTGGGCCACGAAGGCCAAGGTCTCGCGGACGGTCAGGTTGGGGAGCAGCCGGTCCTGCTGGCGCACGTGGGCCACGTACTTCCTCACCAGCTGCGGCGTGCTGGGCTGCCCGTTGATCCTGATGTGGCCTGACTTCACTTTGCTGCCATGGCCTCGTCCCGTGATCACGTCCAGCAAAGAGGCTCTCCCGCAGCCTGTGAAGCCACCAGAGACATCCTAAGATCCGGGGTCCTGAGGGGCCAGCCTGGACGCTGCTGCTGCCTGCACAGTCTCTGGCTACACTGGGTTGCTCTGTCTTTGTAGAAGCGACCTGCCCTAGGGAAGCAGCACAGCACTCAGCCCTGGGTGGGGCGGCCCCAGCAGCTGGGGCTTCGGGCCTGGGCCCACAGCCAGGCAGAGCGCCCTCGGGGCGCTGGCAGCTCATTGGTGCTGGTGGTGGAGGCAGGGGTGGAGGCCAGGTCCGCCACTGGGAGAAGGATGGCCTGTCTGTGCCTGCAGGGCCTATCCCCTCCCTCAAAAGCAAGGCTGGTGTTAACTGCCCTGTGAAGTGTCACTACTTTGGGCCGACAGACATGCCAGCAGTGTCACCATTCAAGCTGACTTTGTGGGAAGGACTGATTTGGAGAAGGAACAGGGCGTCTTTTAAAAATGCAAAAGTCCAGACTTCTGGCCAAGATGGAGGCATAGGTGGAAATACTGTGCCTCCTCACACAACCAAATTTAAGGACAATGAAGATTTAGAAACAAAAACACAACCAAAACAGACAGAAAAGTGAATTGTACCGAAGTCTGACAACTATGAACCATTCATCCAGACCGATAAGAGGGGTGGAGTCAGAGGCGGTGCAGAGGGGTCCCAGCAGGAGGAGGTGGTCCTTGGCCACCCAGGTGGGTGTGGGATGAACACCCAGTAAGGCTCGAAAGGCAGCTAGCTGGCTGACCATGGACACACATTTGCGTGCAGAGAAACCAGGCAAGTTTAAAAACAGTGAGACACACAGCACAACCCAGGGCCCCAGCAATGGGAAATAAAGCCTAAAAGCACTAATTGGAAAAACTTTTGGGGGTCGAGGTGCTGGCAGAGACTCTCAGCCTCACAGGAGAGTTCGTTGGAGAGACCCACAAGGTCCTAAAACGTGCACAAGCCCACACACCCGGGAACCAGCACCAGAAGGGCCCAATTTGCTTATGGGAAGCGGCAGAGGGGACAGAAGTCTGAGAGAGAGAGTGGAGCAAGGACCATTGTCCCCTCTCTGACCCCGCCTCCACATACAGCATCACAACCCAGGGACATGGGTTGACCCGCTCTGGTGAACACCTAAGGCTCCGCCCCTCATACGTAACAGGCGCCAACAGACAAAAACATTATGGCTCAAGCAGAACAGCTCAAAGCCCCAGAGCCAATACTTCTAAGCAACCAAGAGATAGCCAACCTATCAGATGCACAGTTCAAAACACTGGTGATCAGGATGCTCGCAGAACTGGTTGGTTTTAGTCACAAATTTAGATGAAAAAATGAAGGCTACACTAAGTGAAATGAAGCAAAATGCACAGGGAACCAATAGTGATGAAAAAAAATCTAGGACTAAAATCAATGGAGTGGACCAGAAGGAAGAAAGAAACAATCAAACAGAAAAGAATGAAACAAGAATTCAAAAAAATGAGGAGAGGCTTAGGAACTTCCAGGATATCTTTAAACGTTCCAACATCCGAATTATAGGGGCACCAGAAGGGGAAGAGGGAGAGTGACAAGTGGGAAACTTAGTTGAACAAATAATAAAGGAGAACTTCCTCAATATGGCACAGGCAATAGACTTTCAGGAAATCCAGGAAGCTCAGAGAGTCCCAAAGTAGGTGGACCCAAAGAGGAACACACCAAGGCACATCATAATTACATTAGCCAAGATGTAATTCTAGAAGCAGCAAGAGATAAGCGGACAGTCACCTACAAAGGAGTTCCCATCAGACTGTCAGCGGATTTCTCAAAAGAGACCTTACAGGCAAGAAGGGGCTGGAAAGAAGTATTCCAAGTCATGAAATCCAAAGACCCACAACCAAGATTGCTCTATCCAACAAAGCTTTCATTTAGAATGGAAGGGCAGATAAAGTGCTTCTCAGATAAGTTCAAGTTCAAGGAGTTCATCATCGCCAAGCCATTATTATATGAAATGTTAAAGAGACTTATCTAAGAAAAAGAAGATAAAAAAGATGAACAGTGAAAGGACAGCATGCTCACAATTATTAACAACCACACCTAAAACAAAAGCAAACTAAGAGGACAGCTGGATCAGGAGAGGAACCATAGAAATGGAGATCACATGGAGGGTTAGCAACTGGGGAGTGGGAGGAGGAGGAGGAGGAGGAGGGAGAAGGTACAGAGAATAAGTAGCAGAGACGGTAGGTAGAAAATAGGGGGGAGGGTGAGAATAGTATGGGAAATATAGAATCTAAAGAACTTGAGACACGTGGACATAAACTGAAGGGGGGAATGAGGGGCAGGGGGTGTTCAGGGTAGAGGGGAATGGAGCGAGGGGAATGGGACAGCCATAATGTCATAATCAATAAAATATATTTTTTTTAAATGCAAAAGTCCATCTATTTTCAGAAATAAGGGAGGAAAAAAAGAGAAGTAACAGATGTGGAAATGTTTTTAAAAACGACGGGGCAGGTGAGTACACTGAGTTCTGAGTTCCTCCCCACCTTTTACGTGCCCTTATTTTATCAATAACATTTGTTACTCTCTCTAAAAAGGGGGGAGTTGTCCATGGTGCATAAATTAACAGCATCTTCTTCTGAATGACACAGCAATAGCTATTGATCTGGGAAGGGTGTGTCACTTCCTGCTGGATTCTCGAAGGCTTCTGAGGAGGCTCTGGGACAGCGTGGGGCTGTGAAAGAGAATGGCCCTGGGCCCCTTGCGAACAGGCTGGGAGGTGCTCCGACGCCTTTCCCCAGGTAGTGTCTCGGTTTCCATACTCTAAATTCATTTCAGAGAGCAAATTTGCCAAGTTGTTCCCAAGCCAGGAAAGTGCCTGCGTACATCATGGAGCAACTCTGTGCCACAAGCCACATGCCTCCTGCAGGCACCCCCACGGCCCCTGTGCAAAAGACAAGCATCGAGAAGCTTCCCCAGGGATGCGTCTGCAGAAGAAAGGGACCTTCCCAGTGCCTCCTGGGTGCACCTCCGTCAAGATCCCTGAGAACTAGGGGTCTTGTGATGTGTTCCTTCTTTGTGCAAGGCTCAGAAAGCCAGATTCTCTGGGCACTGCCAGGCCCTGCACCCCAGATGGTGAGGGTCACCTGCTCCAGGGCTTATAGGCAAGAGCCTCCACTAAAAAATAAAAGTAAAAGTAAAGAAAAGGAAAGTTTTTCTCAGGTCTGTTATAGGCATTTGACTCCTGGTAACCCCACTCTGGGGTTACTGCAGTTTCTCGCGGTGGCCAGGTTGGCAGGTGCCCTCTGACCCCTCATGTGGGAACTTAAATGGAGCAAAATACCAGGAGAGAAGCCAGAGAGGCGGGCCCTGACCCGGTGCTCTGCTCAGCTTTGACGTCAGCTCCAGTCTCTGGGAGCATGGGGGGTGTTGGGCAACATTCACAGGGACTGTGGGACTCCCACCCAGGAAGGGGAAAGGTCGCGTTTCCTAAATGAGACTTTAGGAGAGGGGTAGGTGGAAACCTCAGGAGTCAGGAGAAAACACCCGGGACTCAGGACCCTCATGAAATGGCTGGAATCTGACTGGAGAACACCCGCGAGCTGCTGCTTCAGTGGGTGTAGCTCAAATGCCTGAGGACGTTTGATTTTATTTTTTTAGCATTATGACCAGAATTTTGTGTGTGTGAGAAAGGAGTGACAGTCACAGGAAGTACTATGGAAAAACCTTTCTGGGAAATCATCTTAATAATTTCAGCCAAGTAAACCTGAAGCTAAACACACGGAGAGCCAAGGGTCAGAGGACCCAGAGGCTGCACGGGCCACCTCCCCAGAGCCTTTCCTAAGCGGCACACCAGGGGGCTGACAGCGACCGGGCTGTGCAGGGTGCGGGGGGGGGGGGCAGGGAGTGAACCACAATGGCACTCAGGCTGTGTGGAAGCACCGGGCAAGGCCCCCTCTGTCTCCTAGATTCTTAGTTCATGAAGACAAAGCAGATAAGCAGATAAGACAAGAAAAGTCACAAGGAGTTAGAAATAGAAATAAACCTGGCTTCTGAAGTAGCAACTTTTTCTTGTTTGGATCAGAATTGCAGGGACAGGGCCATGAAGGTGGGACTTGGCGTGTGAGGCTGTGCCAGTTACAAAGTGCATTCGCACACAGCTGATCTTTGGTTAGACAATAAACAGAACTTCCCTATGGGAAGACCATAAAAATCTGGAGCAGATATCCAAAAAGTGGACTGATCTGGAAATGATTCATTAAAGGGCTAAAGTGCTGTCCGTCACACTGCTGGAGGCAAAAACGCCTCACTCTGAGATCACAGTCAGGAGACCAGAGTTCCAGCTCCAGGTCTGCCTGAAACGGACGAGCTCAGGCTGTGTGTGTGTCTGCGTGTGCGTGCACACGTGTGTGTAGGGGCCGGGGGAAGACACTCTAGAAATACAGAGGGCTAGGTAATTTAAAACCCTCCTCTGGGGTTGCCTCCACACAAGTAAGGAGAGGAGAGCCACAGGACTAACTCTGCGCCCCACGCCCCTGCAGCCCCGGCGTTCTGCATTTCCAAGTCTGGCCTGCGGACGTGGCTGCTGGAGGCCCTCTCAGGACCCCTGCTTGTGTGCGTGGTGAGAGGCCGCGCTCATACTCGGAGGGGCTGTGTCTACTTGCTGTCTGACCCTGCGAATCCGGGAATCTGACTGTGGGGAACCATGAACACTATGGTGGCAGAGGAGTCCCCTGAAAATATCGTTCCATTCCGAAGCTGCCTGCTGATGCTCCCTGTGGAGCATGTGGGAAGGTTTCTGCCTTGTCTCCACACAGGCGTCACAGGCAGGACCTCTGGCTGCGGCTGCAAGGGGCATGCCCCTCCTTCCTCTCCAGCAAGTCTCAGTGACCCCCTGAGAGCTGGTCGATGGAGGAGCAGAGAACCCAGCCAGGTGTGTCTGACCCAGAACCTGTGTTCTCAGATGCTCTGCCAGAGTACTGCACTGGTCAGTGAAGGGTTCTATGAGAAGCCCCCATTCGTTTGAGGGCCATTCTGCGTCCCACTGCCCCACTCTCTGCGCCCAGCGGTACCTGAGCTCCCTATGATGGCCAGCATCTGCCCACTCCTCACTTTGAAGCTCAGGTTCTGGATACCCTGCTCACACGAGTCCTTGTGAGATGTCCAAGGCATCCTGAACTGAGCCAGCCGCTCAAACCAAGGCACCTGGGAGGCCGCGTCCACCTGTGGGGAGACATCAGACGGCTCCTCAGAGAGCTGAATGGCTCAGGAGCTCCAGCAGCTTCTGCGCAGCTCGCTACAGCAGGCAGCCCTGCCGACACGCCACGGGCCCCCGGGGCTCCCAGACTCAGAGGCTGGAGCCCCCCCATGCCAAGAACCTGAAGCTGCCATTTCCAAGCCTTCCTGAAGATAACATGTGGAAAACACGTGTAATGGCAGAACAGGGAAAAAAAATACAACTTGAAGTAAAATGATGCTGCCTTACTCAATAATAATTGTAATGCACTAATGATGTACCGAATGTTGACTATGCCCAGGGCACTGCGGTAAAGCCGTTTCTATGTGTTATCTCGATCTCCTTTGCAAACGTGTTACAGAGGCGCGGTTATAATCCCGGCTCTACAGATAAAGCTCGGGGCAGTTGAGGGGCTTGCTGGGGGTCACGTGGCAGCGAGTGGCAGCACAAAGGTTGTGGCCTGACTCGTTGGCTTGTCCCACTCGCCTCCACAGGGAGCCAGCACTGGGCCTCAGAGGTTCACCACCCCAGGCCTCAGCATATGCCACCTGGGCCACCTGGGTTTGCCCCTGGGGAGGCGTGGGAAAGGGGGGTCTTCGGATCTGGCTGGGGCAGGGGTTGTCCCTGACAGTCCCTGAAAGGCCCTCGCACCCTGAATGTTTTTATAAGCTCCACTGACAGAACATTTTACCAAAAAAAGGTACACAGATGAAAACTATCTACATAAAGTCCATGGCTTGGTCCATAGGGCGGTGCCACTGTTGCCATCTTTGCTTGGATAACCGTGCTACGGGGAAGCAGGATGATGCGTCAGGGGAGTGGGACAAAGAGTAATGGGAACTCTGGGGAAATTTGGGCTATTTTTGCAACTTTTTCAAAAGTCTACAATTATTTCAAAATATAAAATTAAAAAAGAGTTTTTGAGATTTTCCCCCCATTGGGTCACACGGTTTGCTTCAGGGTTTATTCAGCCAAGGCCTCATTCTCTGTTTATGCCCCCAAACCTCCCTCTCTAGAAAGTGCAGCCGAAGTGCAGGCTCCGCTGTCCTTGGACCCGTCACCCAGGGCAGCAGCTCGGACCTGGCTCCGTCTTTGGGAGCAGATGCCCCCGCCCCTCACGCTTAGGGGACTGTTTGGCCTTCCCTGCCCACTCTTCCCACCTCGTTCTGAGGGGTGCCTCTACCTGGTAGCTGAGGCCTTGGACTTCCAAGGTGTTGGACTGGCCACTGTAGGTGAAGTACAGGCTGTTGTCACTTTCAGAGGAGAACAAGCTGTCCTGGAGGCCCTGCAGGGAGGCAGGACGAGGTGAGGGGCTCCTTCAGGAGCTGCGCAGGGACACAGGATAAAGCGGAGGGGAGCCCTGACAGGCCAGAGCAAAAGCTGGCCTGGCGGAGATCCAGAATTGGCAAGACACGGGTTTGGGGAAGTGGGGTTCCCAAGAAAATAGGAACCTCGATGGGGGCTCACCTACTCTTGCCTGCAGAGAGAGTTTTCGGACTTGCCCCCGGAGTATGGCTCTGGCCCCTGAGAACCTCCGCTGCAGGCGGGTGGAACGTGAACAAGATGGACAGCCCAGGATGGACAGCCCAGGATGGACACGACGCAGTCTTGGGGCCGGAGGGGCCCCCCGAGCCTCTGCACTCTGGGAAGGACCTGAGCTGGGGACCGCCCTCTAACTGCTCTTCCCTGAACCTGACTCAGTAGCTCCCTCCTGCCAAACAGACCTCACACGCACAGCGAGTGAGAGGACAGCATCCTGCCACTGTTACCGCTGGGGGGGACAGGCACCGAACAATTCAATGTTTTGTAGTATCAGCGGATACCCTGGCACGGTATTAACCATCTGCAGTTCTGAATTCCTTCTGTTTTATCAATTCAATCATGTAATGGAGGCCCCCCCTCCCCCCAAAAAACCATGTCTAGTAAAAGTTTCTGTTTCTGAATGAACTCAAATTTTCCTCCATTTCTGTAGTGCAGGGGAAAGTGTGTGTTTGAGAATGAACTCCTGTTGACTCCGGTCTTCTTCCCTCAGACACCCGTCCCTTCCATCCGTCGAGCGGCCGGAGCGGCCGGCGAACACTCACTGGGGCCCACGTGGCACTTCAGGCACGGCCGCGGGGCGAAGAGCCTTGGGAGGCTTAGATGCCAGTGGATGAGACCGGTGATGAGGGTGGAGCCCTGCGGGCCAGGCGTCGAGGCACCCAACCCGGGTGCATTTTCACTGTGTATACCATGTGCTGTAGGTGAAAACTTTGTGATTCATGAGAAAACAATGCCCGACAGTCCTTGTCAGAGCCTCCCTGCAGTGGCGGAGGCGAGAGGTCCTCGGGAAGGACCCTGCAGAGGACGTGAATACAGGTGACAGTCAGTGGCAGGCCCACTGTGGGCAGTCCCCAGATTTCTGGAGGACTATGGGAACAGCAGACTGTAGCTACTTACCTTGTTTAAAGTTAGAACTATTACCATAAAGATCTTACAGGATATAGAAGACTGTGGGAGAGATGAACAGCTAATTTGGCAGAAGCAGGAGCAATACATAGGGATGGGGGTACAGGGGTGGGGGTCGGGCTTCGGAGCTTTTGATAAGTGGCAGTGAGTACATGAGGGTTCACTATTCTTTAAACTGAGCTGCCTGAAATATTTCAAAATATGTTTTCAAACTGAGAGAGCTGGCCAGTGAGTAGAACTCCAGATTTCTACAACCCCCAGCTGCTAACGCCTCCCAGGCAGAAGCCAGATGTGGGGGTGGGGGAAGGGTGGGGGGTCGGCCCCCTCGGAGGTGGGCAGGGAAGCTCCTGAGAAGGTGAAGAGCAGATCGGAAAGCTGCTGGATTCCAACAGGGCTGTGGCCCTGACCCCCTCTCACCACCTCCGCCACCAGCATTCACACGGCCTAGTCTTACCTCTCCGTTTCGTTACATTATGAGAAATTCTATCAATTGCTAATATGTATCCTGTTTGTCTGTTTGTAAACAGCAAGTGTCTGCCGAAGGATCTCAACCAATACGGATAAGACACGAGTTAGCTCAGAGATTGCGTCTGGTCTGCGGATTGCACCTGGCCCTCCCAGGTTAGATTCCAGGGCTGCTGAGAAAGGCCAGGTTGGACATTTTGGAATCTGGAGCAGTATGTGGTGGGGGGGGATCTCAAGCCTGGGGTTCCCCTTTCCAGGCAGGTAGGTGCTCCGAGGACGAGGAGGGTGCTGGGGCCCAGAGGAGAGAGGCAGCAGGATAGACAGACGGGTAAACAGCAGCAGTGTGGTGTGGGTGCCCTGCCCTCGGCTTGCCCTGCCCCTGCACCAGGACAGGCGGGGGCAGCCCGGGCCTGGCCACCATCGAGGGACTGTGCCTTCGGGAGCAATGCAGGCAGCTCAACTTCCAGGAAAAAAGAGAATGTATGGCCTCTGTGCAATTTTGAAATATTTTCGTTGGCTTCCAGGAAGGATTTGTTAGACTCTTCCTGAGGTTTTGACAAACTCTCTGTATTTTTCAAATACTTAAATATCTATTCAGATGACATCTTAATCAGTATGACTGTCAGAACATCACTTGGATTTCTGACAGGTGACACCCAAAAAAGCAAAAGCGGGTTTATTTGTAGATAACCAGCTCAGCTCCTGCTGGGCTACACTGTAATTTCTCCTTCTATTAACTTCTGATCAAGTTCCTGAGTCAGATGCATAGGGAGGAAGGAACCAGGGAGCACAGGGCACACGGTCCTTGTCCCAAGACCAGGAGCCCCTGCCTTGGGCCCGCAGAGACGAGGTGATGGCCCGGCGCCTGGGGAACTGCTCAAGGCTGGCCCTGGGCTGAGGGGCGGAGCCCGGCCTTTTGACAAACATCCAGATTGGATCTCATCCAGATTGGAGCTCTGCCCGGAGGCCTTGGCCCCTCTCATCCTCCCCTGGTCATGACCCTGCCCATGGACTGAGGAGTCTGCGGGCAAAGGCCACTGCCACTCCAGAAACCCAGAACCCCAAATTCCCTGTGCTAATGACCCCACCCTCAGGGCCACGGGAGCCTTGTCCCGGGCCCGTCCTCCCACACTGCCTGACTGGGCTCCCCAGGCCAGAGGGGCATTTGTGCAGAGTGTGCGTGGAATGTGGGTGGGCAGGAGGGGGGTGTGAGGTCGTGTGTGAGTGGGGGCTGGACGCGGACGGGGCACAGGCTGTGGTAGAGGCTGAAGGCTGCTTTGCCCATGCCAGCACATGCTAGTTGTCCCTCCAAGAAGGCTTAGAATTTTTATTTTACTTTATTGATTGACTTCTGGAGAGAGAGAGACAATGATTTGTTTTGCCACTTATTGATGCATTCATTGGTTGATTCCTATAAGTGCCCTGACCAGGGATTTACCTGCAACCTTGGTGTGTGGGGACAACACTCCAACCAGCTGAGCTGCCCAGCCAGGGCCAAAGTCCCAGAATTCTTGAATTTGCACTTGGCATTCCAGATCGGGGGAAGGGCATACGAAGGTAAGAGGATAGAAACTATTTTTAATGAACGGTTCTTAGCGTGATGAATGACTTAAATATCTACGTATATACGATGCATAGCCCTCATCATCTCATCCTCTTGGCACCTTAAGTAATAGAATCAGAAGAAAGTGAACTGGAAATAGGAACAGCCTCCCTGAATGTCGGCGCCAGGCAGTTCTCTGCCTCCCAAGCCACGAGCTCCAGACCTTCCAGGCAGAAAGTTAGCTACCCCTGAGATCATATCCTGTGCAGGCTGTGAGCACTGCGGGCTGGGCTCCGGGGAGTCACTTTTTAGGGGGGACTGGCCCCATGGGGTGCTAGGTTCCTCGGGCCTGGCTGAAGTCAGCAACTCAAGGCCAGCCCAGGGAACTTACAGCCTGCCCCGTTGTGGGGTCCCTGTCTCTGCCCCTCTTCCCCAGAGCAGGCCAGGATAGAAGGGTAGGGCGGGGTGAGGCAAAGGTGGAGGGTGGGGATCTGTTGTCTTTCAAACTTCCCACCTGGCCTCCCACTGCAGACCCCACCCACAACCCAACTTTGGTCCAAGGCCAGAAACCTTGGACCCCAACCTCTTGGCTCTTGGCTGGCACCTGTTTCCTAGGCGCTGTCTGGAATTTCTGCCTGCTGTAGTGATATTTTGAACAGAAATTTCAGTATTTGTGTAAATGCCACCTGCCCTCCTATCTCACTGGTTGACTGTCACTGGCCTTCTGAGCTCCACAGCCACACGGACAAAGGAGACCCTCAGCGTCCTGGCGTGTGTGAGCACACTTCTGTGGTGGAGTCGTACGTGTAAAAGCTGGGGCCACCCAAGGTGCCAGCAAGAATGATCATTTCCCTGTCGGTGCAGACCTCAGGGCGGGAAGTGACCTCGGAGGCCCCCACCAGGAGTCTCAGGGACCCCTGGATCACCCCCACCCCAGCCCTTCGGTGCCCAGGAAATGAGTCCTGCTACCCATGGTCCCGGGACTCAGGTGGGACAGGGCTTCCTGAGGGAGGGAAGTGAGGTCCGACTCACCCCACCCACCAGGACCGAGGTGACCCCCCAGCACTCACCGAGGCATCTTGGGGAGCAGCCCTGACCCCAAGCCCCGTGTCCTCCGGGGCCATCTCAGCCATGGGGCCCAGCAGCATCCGCGCCCCTCGCTGCCAATTCTCTTGGACCTTAGCTGTCTCCTGCCAGTGCCAGTGTTTTCTCTCTGTCCCAGAGCTGAGCAGCCTCTGGTCCTCGTTTGGCGAGCCACCGTCTGTCCCCCAGCATTCCTCTCTGGCAAACGCTCCCACAAACACGGGGGGTGTGTTCTGCCCGCTGCCGTGTGTTCGGGCTAAAGGTACATCAGATAATGGCATCTGCAGCCAAGCCCCGTGCTGACGCTGGGGAGGCCTCAAGAGGAGCAGGTGGGGCGGTCTGCTGCTGTCCCCTGAGCAGAGGCTGCTCAGGGAAGGTCGGGCACCTGAAAACCCTCCTGTCTTTGCTGCCTGTTGACCATGAGTGAACTCCCACCTTTGACCCCCCTGGGGTCCTCAGGACTCCAAATAAACAAAGGCTTCCAGTGCTCCTCCGAGGAGGTTCCTCCAGCTGCATCAAAGCCTCGGCACAGCCTGGGGGTCCTCCATGTCTCCTACAGTGTCAGGTAAGGTGGGCACGGCCCAGGACGACTGCTGTCCTCACCCTTCTGCTGGCTTCTCACTAATGGGGGCCGGATACAGCCGCTTCGACCCCCCTGTGGAGTGGATCCTGGTGGAGAGAGGGGAGGGGAGGGCCCCCAGGGATAAACTAAAAACAAGGGTGAACGCCACCCCCCACCCCAGGGCTGGACCTGGGAGCAATGCCAAATGCAGCAGCTGTGCTCTGCCTCATGCCCCTGCGGCCCTTGCTCCTTCCCATGTGTCCCCCTCATGTAAGCCCTGTCTGATGTGGGCGGGGAGGCCTTGGGGACAGGGGTGCTTGCAGCACCAGGTGTTCTGAAGCCTGGTGAAAAAATGCAGGGTTAACCGAGGGAATATTGCCACCTCCCTGCAGCCAGAGAGCCGGCACTCAGAGCCGCTGCCGGGCAGGTGCTATACACGGGTGATCTTCGGTCACTGCCGACCAGGATCTACAGAGGAGGACGCTGAGGCTAAACCACCCTTAGAAACTTGTCTGGAGAAAAGTGGGGAGGGCTAGAGCTGGCCTCAGTGCTGGGGGATGAAGGTGCGGCCCCTCCCAAGAGCCCACTCTGCTGCTCCCCTCTGGGGCTTCCTTTACAGCCACCGCGCCGGGCCCTGGTGGGACATCACGTCTTGCCGGCAGCGGTGGAACAGGCAGATACTGAAAGACGTCTCCTTGTACGTGGAGAGCGGGCAGATCCTGTGCATCCTGGGGAGCTCAGGTGAGCTGGGGGGCGTGCTCTGCTTGGGCGAGGGCTCCCAAAGGGCCGTGCCTTGACTTGATCACCACTTCCAGGAAACGGGTCCGAGTTGTTACAGGAAGTCTGTGAGAAGTTTAAATTGCAACACGTTTGATATTAGAATGAAATCCAATGACAAGTCTGTGAATGGAAGGAACCTGATGTGAAATCTTTAGAAAGATCCTTGCAGAATAATAACATTGTGCCTGACCTGTAAGTTAATTCATATTTCAAAGTACGCAGAGCACTAGCACAGTGCCCGGCATATAGGGGTGCTCTGCAAACTCGATTTCCCTAATCTGTACTCTGCCTGGAGGTGGGAAAAGGAATATAAAAAGCACCAAGATGCCCATTTATTCCTTGTACTCATCGGTCTTTTAAAATCATGATATATTTCAAACATACCAGCAAAAATAGAAAATGAAAGAATGTTCATGTGTTAACATCTGGTTTTATAAATCTTATTTTTAAAACATTTTATTTATTTATTTATTTATTTATCCCACAACCCAAGCCATGCGTCCCAATGGGGAATCAAACCAGCAACCCTTGAGTTCACAGTCTGATGCCTGGCTGTGCAACCAGCCAGGCAAGGCTTTATAAATCTTAACAACATGCCATGTTTACTTCAGATCCTTTTTTTAAGGAATTAAATATTACGGATTCCAGTGAGGCTAGGTGCCCACTTCCCAGCACATCCTTCTTCTTTTCACGGTCACTACACTGGAGGCGAAATCCAGTGCCCGTCCCCATCCCTGCATCAGCCAGTCCTCGTCTGGGGAGGGTGAGGCCTCCAGAGAGGCAGCTCCCTGCGGCCCTGCGAGGGTCACCACCGGGAATCCTCAGGGGCTGCAGGCAGGCAGGTGCACCGGCCCCGAGAGGAGACCCGTGGGACACACCACGGTGTCCATGACACCATATCATCCTGCACACTTCAACGTTGACAGATGCTGAGGTGCTGGCTTCGCAGAGGAGCCACTTGACTGAGTTCTTGTTTGCAAGTTGTTGGCGTGTCCTGACTCTCCACTTGCATTACTCCCTTGAACAGAGATGGTAGTGGAAGTCCGTGGTTATGACCGGTCAGCTTCTAAGCCCGAGGGGTAAATCCAATCCACGGCCACTCCCCTGCTGCAGGGGGTGGGGGGTGGGGGAGTGGCGGGGGGAAGCGATGGTGATGGCAGTGTCTAAATTACATGAAAAGGAATTCACTGACTAACACTTCCAATTTCCCCAGATTTCCTGTCTGTTCCTAGTCCCGATTTTTTAACCATGTCTCACCACATTCATGTACCCATACCAGCCAGGGTCATTCTGACTTTCACTTGAATAATTATACCATACTTGGACGGGGACAGAAGCTGAGCTATTCCTGTAATACTTTGTCACTTGCTGCCTTCATGGTGTAGGGTAAAAACGGTGGCTTGTAGCACACCTCGAGGACCGAACCCACCTTCTCAGATGTGTGTCCTGCCAGCCGGTGTCACGCTTTGAGCACACCTCTGCAGGACAGTGCCGGGGGTTCCCGGTCTGGGGTCCGGGGCTCACGGGCTCGTTTCTGATGACACCTCATTATGGTTTGCTGACAACGTCCATCCTTTCACACTGAACGTGAGTTCACAGTAGACTGCAAGTTCTACGAGACTGGCCGCCCCCCACCCCTCTCCACTCTATCTTCCACAACCAGAACAGGGCTGGCCACACAGTAAGTGCTTAATCAATTTTTGTTGCATCAATAAGTAAGCCAATAAACCACTTTTATAAATCCCCCTTAGTGTTTTATAAAATGACGTGACTTTATCAGTGTCTTATCTAAAGCAGAATAGCAATGCAGCATAGCAATAAATCAAATGTTTATTAGGGAGGAAAAAGATGACTTTGGTGTTCAAACTCTCACTAAAGAATGGGCCAGTACAAGCTGGCCTAGGGTCGTCCAATAGTCTAGGGGAAGATAACTAACTTTATTGGGCTCATTATTTGCTATCGGTTAGGACCTAGACTCTGTGCTGCATGTCCCCTTGCAGAAGCCTAGTTACAAATGATTTCTGTCCTTTTAGGCAAGATAACCTCAAAGGTCATGTGTGGTTTTGTTGCCCTGTATGGCATTAACCACTTTTGTTTCTTTTTCCCCATTTTAAATGTAGCAAAATACACATAATGACAAGTTTACTATTTTAATCATTTCAAAAAAATTTTTTAAATTTATTTTTAGAGAGGGGGAAGGGATGGAGAAAAAAAGAGAAATATAAATGTGTGGTTGCCTCTCACATACCCCCCAACTGGGGACCTGGACTCCAGTCCAGCTGGTTTTACAAAAGGGCTCTCGAAGCTAGAGTTTTTCAAATTCTGATATGCATGGAAATTACCCAGGGATCACGTGAAAAAGCAGACTCTGATTCTGTGGCTGTGGGCAGGGGCCTGAGACTCAGCACTTCTAACAAGCTCTCAGGGGATGCCGCCGGTCCCCAGACCACACCTGCTTGGCAGGGTTCTAGGCCGTGTCCCTACTTTCAGGAACCACCAGACCACCCCAGGGGACCCCAGAAAAATTCAGATGTCTGGGACCAGATGTTTCTGGGAGCCCTGATTTCCCTGTTATTTTGAGCTTATATTGTCTTTTTCAAGGGGAAACAGCTTTAAAGCAAATAAAGAGGCAAAGTCCCTCTGGTACCCACAGAATGAGAGAAATGACTTGTGCGTCCTTTTACTCAAGGGAAAAGCAGGAAAGACTCATTCCTGCCAGAAGCGTTTGACCCACGAGGCTGAAGAGAAAACTCGTCAGGGCTGGACCCAGGCAGGACTGGTCCACCGAGGGTCTTGGGAAGTTCCTGAGATGCCTCATGGAGGGACTTCTACCAGGGCCTTCTCTCCTTGCCCATCAGGCTCAGGGAAAACCACACTGCTGGATGCCATGTCCGGGAGGCTGCGGCGCACGGGGACCTTGCTCGGGGAGGTGTTTGTGAACGGCCAGGCGCTGCGCAGGGACCAGTTCCAGGACTGCTTCTCCTATGTCCTGCAGGTGGGCATGTCCCTGGCCCCAGCCCGCTGCAGCCAGGGGCCGGGGAGACGCTGATGCCTCCTTCTTCCGCAGAGCGACACTCTGCTGAGCAGCCTCACCGTGCGCGAGACGCTGCGCTACACAGCGCAGCTGGCCATCCGCGGTGGCTCCCGGGCCTTCATTGAGAAGAAGGTGCGTACGGCCTGTCCTCACAGTGGCCTGGGCTTGGGGCCGGGGTTTCCAGGCCCCCGAGCAGGGGCACCCAAGGGCGCAACCCCAGTGGCTTCGCACCCACTATTCCCTCTATTGCCCATTTCTTCCCTTTACTCTTCACTGTTTTGAGTCTAGACCCGAACTGTCTGGTGTTGCAGCAACTAGTCATGCCTGGCCTTGAGCACTTGAAAAGTGATTAGTCCTGATGTGCTGTGAGTGTACAATACACACAGGATTTTAAAAACTGTGAGAAACAGAATGTGAAATATCTCGATAATTTAAAAATATTGATTATAGTTTGAAACAATGTTTGGCTGTACTGGGTTAAAGTATATTACAAAAATTAATTTCACCTGCTTCTTTTTACTTGCTAAAATGTGGCTGGTAAGCTCATTGAAATTCTGCACGTGGCTTGCATTGTATCTCTCGCGGATGCTGCTGTCCTGGGAGCTCTGGGTTTGAATAGATACAGTTCAGTTCCCCACTGGGCTTCGCCCTGCTGTCCGTTCTGTTGAGACTTTTCTCACCCGTCTTCAAGGCATCTTGAATGTGCCTCATCCAGCCGGATTAAGGTAATGAAGGAAGGAACTATTGGATTGTCACCTCTTTCCCCATCTTTATCTGTTTTTTTTTAAATGCACCCAGTTTGGAAATAGCCCCAGGGACCTCGCCTGAAAACATTTCTGAAGGCCTGGACCGGAGTGCTCAGGGAACAGAGGACAGACAGATGTGCTGTGCAAAGCAGGCCCAGTTCCCTGGGAGATGGGCCCCCAGAGCCCCCAGAGGAGGCCAGCGACACTTGCCCCAGAGGCCTTACTGCCCTGAGGCTCAGCCAGGCTCCTGCTGGGCCCCGAGGCCGGCCTTTCTTAGTGCCACTGAGGCTCCTAGGGAATCCTCCATCTCAGCTGAGAGGGCAGCAAATTACCCGGTCTTTATTAGGCATAGCTGAGCCTGTCCGCAGGGACTTGCTCATCATGTCCCTGCACTGGACTCTCAGGCAGGGCTTGGAGGGTGGAACTAGTTCTTTCTGGGGGTCCCAGTCGGTTGTACAGTATAGCTTTCACTACAGGCACATGTTCACAAGGGCCCCAGCACTCAAGGGGGCATCGTCCTCTCAAAAGCAATGCCTAGATGTGTCTCCTCTTTTGGTCAAAGCTCCATCTATGCTGTCGATGCACCCCGTGTCCTGTGGGACACTGCTCCCCAAATCACTCCCTTTTACTCCGATCTAGTTACTCTTGTTATTTTTTTTATGCAGTGCTTTTATTTTTCATTATAAAAGTAACATAATCTCCTTAGAGGTATGTGAGAACACAACTCATTAGCATATAGCTCACTGTTCTCAGTCCCTTTCTCTGATTGGCCCGGGCCTTCTGTCGCTAGGGGTAAACTGCAGAGGGATTTACTGAGGAAGGAAAGAAGGAGAAGAGGAAAAGACCAGCCTTCTTGGTTAGAGAGGGAGTCAGGGATTTTCCTAGGTACCGTTGTGGGGAGTCGAGAATGAGGAGTAAGGGGAGTTAAGGGAGCTGCAGGGTACAAGCAGAGTGAAGAGAATCGGGGGGAGAAGAAATTTTAAGAAGTATGTCTGCAGGTTATAGACCAGGTCCCCTTTGAAGCCCTTAAAGAGATTCAAGTAAAGTTTGGCATTACTTTTCATTACTTTTGGTAGTTAGATTCTATTTCTTTGATGCAAAACCACCCTGAAATTGGACCATAGGGGACTCTGGGACTTATTTGGGTTACATAAGGGAAATCAGTTTTATTTAAAAACAAATTGGATTTTTTAAACATATAAAACATGTATCCTAATAAAGTTTCAAAAAAACCAAACATTAAAAAAAAAACAAGCTGTTTTGTAACCATGACTTTGGGGGATTTTTTCTGTATGTGTTGAACTGAAAATAGGAGTCCAGTGAAGTCTCCACTGTTTCCTGGAGAATTTCTCGGAAGCAAATGTAAGCACTTTTTGTTGCTCTAAGAACTTTTAAAAACAATTCACATTATTTATTTTAGTCAGCGGCGTGTATCATGTTGTGATTGAAATCAAGCTGGATTTCGTTGCATGCAATAGGCGTGCTCTGCCCAGGCTGTAGTGCGTCTGAAGGGGCCCCAGCCCCCACGGGAGGTGTGTCGCCGTGTCGCCTCTCCTGCGCCCCCCTCAGGTTGTGCGCTGGAACCGCAGCCCTGCGGTTAGCAGCCCCCCCCGGATTTCTGACTCCCACAGGTGGAGGCGGTCATGGCGGAGCTGAGTCTGAGGCACGTGGCAGACCGACTGATCGGCGACTGCAGCTTTGGGGGAATTTCCAGTGGTGAGCGGCGCCGCGTCTCCATCGCAGCCCAGCTCCTGCAGGATCCCAGTAAGTGGCACCCAGAAGGGCCTCTAGCTGCCACCTGGGCATCTCCCACGTGGCTGCAGGTACAACAGGCCCTTTCTTCAGCCTCCATTTGGAAAGAGGTTTTCACTGAGGTTTTCAAACTGCAGACCCAGCTTTCTTGAAAGTACTATGGAGTTCCAGAATACTCTTTCATCATCCAAGTACCAAATGACTCTTGGACTCAGGAGTGCTCATTTGTGTTTTAAAATTCGGGTCTTCCATGAACGGGCCCTTCCTGGGCATCCTCACCTCGCACAGGAGTGCAACCACTGTGGAGAGCCATGAGCTTTGGTGTGACTAGAAGTATTTATGAAATGGCAGGAATTAAAATAGGACTTTGAAAAGTCCTACTGGAGAGTGATCAGGTAGAGGGGAGGGGCTGTCAAGATGGGCAGCCTGTCACCTGGCTCCCCTGCCTGGTTTGCTCATCCTCCCCACCACCTGGGGAAACCTCACCATTCTATGCACCTGGAAGAGGACAGCTTGCCCCTGGACACTTTTTCACACTGGGGGGAGAACAAGACTGCCCACTCTTCAGGTGGTGCTACGTCACTAGAAGGCAAGTAAGAGAGGTGCTCTTAAGAGTGCTTGCCACTTTTATGGTAGAAAGAAACTATAGTTAACTCCTCTAAAAAACCCAATTTCATGGGTTCTGTTTTTTTGCAGTGCCAAAGACCTTATTGATGTTTGAAAGTGCTAGCCATGAAGTGCGGTAGTATCTTTTTAACTAGCCTCTTTTCAGCCTTTTAAAGATTTTATTTATTTGTTTTTAGAGAGAGGGTAAGGGAGGGAGAAAGAGAGGAAGAGCAACATTGATTTGAGAGAGAAACGTCAATTGGTGGTTCCTTGCACGCTCCCCGAGTGGGAATTGAACTGATGACCCCTAGCCTTCCTGGAGGGTGCCCAACCCACTGAGCCACCGTAGTCAGGGCCTCGGCCCTTTAAAATAACATGGTGCCAGCCCTTGTTTTCTCAGGCTCATCTGGATAGAGCCCAAGGGGTCCATTATACCATGTGAGAGGCCGGATCTGGCTTCTGCCTTGTTCTGTCAAGGTTTACACCTGAAATCTGCTCTAGAGCTGGGATTTGGGTCCTCTCAGGTCAGTTATTTCTCCAGGGCTCGGGCAGAAAGGCAGTTTACAGGTAGGTGCTTTCTCACTATGCACTGTTTAGATGGGGTAAAACAGCTCAAGTTAGGAACTATTCAAAATTCTGAGTTTAGATCACAGAGTCAGGCTGGGCAGGGACTCTGAATCTGCCCCTCCTTTGCCGACAGCGGTCATGCTGTTTGATGAGCCAACGACGGGCCTGGACTGCATGACTGCCAATCAGATCGTCGTCCTCCTGGCAGGGCTGGCTCGCAGGGACCGCATCGTGATCCTCACCATCCACCAGCCCCGCTCTGAGCTCTTCCAGGTGAGGCGGCGGGGGGGGGGGTGTCTTCTGTTCCTGCTTAGTTTGTCAGGGGTGGTTTGTGTGTGTGTTGAGCTGAGGATCATGGGTAGAGATTAGTTAGCACCGGCCAACTGGAGTGCTCTGAGCCAATAGCTCCTGATATGGGAAGGGTGAAGGATGGAAGCTCACTTCCTTCAGCACCTGACACTTACCAAATAGCTTCTATGCACCAGGTCATTGACCCACGCAGTCCTGCGAGGTACATATCAATAGTTCCACTTTACAGAGAAGAGTGAGACTTAGAAGTGTTACAAAACTGAGCCACAATCACACAGCAAAGAAGCTGGAATTGGAAGTCCAGTTGGCTTTAAAGACTGTGCTTTCCCACTAACCCATATAGTTTTCCTCCAAAATTCTCTCTTTGTCCTCCCAGGAACCTTTTAGGGAGCTATTATTTGCTTTTTATAGACAACGATCTGAGATTTTAAAAAAATTGTGCCAGGGACCTACTCACTCAGGGGCAGGGCCGGGACGCATGCCCAGGCCCACCGGTCAGCTCAGCTCTCCTCTACCCCACAGAGATGCGGGCACAGGCTGGATGCTCAGCAGCGGCCCGCGCTGAAAACAATAGGTGCATTTTGAGTGTCTCCAAAGGATGCAGTAAGAATACCAATGCTGTATGAACTACTAATGAAATATAATGAAAAGACTGGCTGCGTGGAAAGTTTTTTCTATAAGAATGCGATGACTTTAAAAAGAATTCTTTATTGATTTGAGAGAGAGAGAGACAGACAGACAGGCAGACACTGATTTGTTCCACTTATTCCTGCATTCATTGCTTGCCCTGACTGGAGATCGAACCTACAACCTTGGTATATCAGGATGATGCTCTAACCAGCTGAGCTACCCTGCCAGGGCCTAGGATGTGGTGACTTGGTTACACACTAATACCATCTGTTGCCCAATCAGCTCTTTGACAAAATCGCCATCCTGAGCTTCGGAGAGCTGGTTTTCTGTGGGACACCGGTGGAAATGCTTGAGTTCTTCAGTGGCTGCGGCTACCCTTGTCCTGAACATTCAAACCCTTTTGATTTTTATAGTAAGTTTTTCATTCACATTTCCCACCATCCTAATTGTTTTTTGAACTTGATTATCTCAGATTTCTGCCTGGATGGCACCAGGGTTTTGTTTTTGCTTTTGTTTTGATGTTTTTAATCCTCAAATTAATTTGGCTGGGTCAGTTAATTTGCCATAACCTATCAGAATGAGGTGGGGGATCTCTTTTACATTGAGGCATGCCTCCTTCGTCAGAAGAAAATTAGCAGAGCTTTGGAATTCTCCCATACAGCTTCAGTGGGATCCTCACGGCCCTGGTGCTAGCTTAAAAATATTCTCATCTTATAGGTGGACGTTCAGAACAGGTATTATTCTGGTGGGATGAGGCATCACAGCTAGTACTCCTAAACCAGTGATGAAACATAAACATTATTAGTCATTGTGTATTTATGTGCCTTTAAAACCCATGGGTCACCTCTTTGGGGAAAACACTTTAGTGGACCTGACATCAGTGGACACCCAAAGCAGAGAACGGGAAGTGGAAACCTACAGAAGAGTCCAGATGATTGAGTCTGCCTACAAAGAATCAGCAATTTATCACAGGACCTTGGAGCGCATTGAAAGAACAAAACACCTGAAAACGTTACCAATGGTTCCTTTCAAAACCAAGGACTCCCCTGGAACTCTTCCTAAACTGTTCATTCTCTTGAGGTAAGAGACCCACCGCATCTTAGGGGCTGAGACATCCGTCCATGAAAGAAAAGGAATTAAAACGGTGTTGTCTTTCAGGAGAGTGACGAGAAACTTAATGAGAAATAAGCTGGCAGTGATTATGCGTCTGGTTCAGAATCTGATCATGGGTCTGTTCGTCATTTTCTTCCTCCTACGGATCCAGAACGATGTGCTAAAAGGGGCTGTCCAGGACCGCGTGGGTGTCCTGTACCAGTTTGTGGGGTCCATGCCCTACACAGGCATGCTCAACGCGCTGAATCTGTGTGAGTGCCGTGCCGGAACGTGTGGGGGCTCCTCTCCCCGGATACCTCCCCTCTCTAGCCGTCACCTCGCAAGACTCCACCATTACTAGTCTTTGAGCTCAACCTAGATTCTGTCTCTGGGGAGAGGTAACTCCTGACCTGCTAACCCCTGGGGTGAATGAACTCATCAGTGGATCTCTCTGAGGGCCTCTAAGGCCCCAGGGAAACATGAAGTTATACGGTGCCGACGGGCAGGATTTGGAGAAGTTTATCAAAGATTAGCCCTGGGATCCAGCTTGGCCATTAGGGTGTGCAGTCCAGGGGGCCCACATACCTGGGCAACTTAGCATCGTTACATTCTTTTTTTGAAAAATATTTTATTTATTTTTAGAGAGAGGGCAAGGGAGGAAGAGAGAGAGAAACAACAACGTGTGGTTGCCTGTCACGTGCCCCCTACTGGGGACCTGGCCTGAAACCCAGGCATATGCTTTGACTGGGAATCAAACCAGCGACCCTTTGGTTCGCAGGCCGGCAATCAACCCACTGAGCCACACCAGCCAGGGCATCACTGTTACATTCTTTTTGGAGCCTATTTTAGTATAGCCAGAACCTCACTGTCAAACTCAGTGGGAGGCCAGAAGCAATACCTAGCTAGCTGCCTGATGTTCAGTACCAAGACCCTGCACAAGAGGAGGATAAAGTGGCTCATATCACTCATTTGTGTCCCTTTTGCCTGCACATTCTTGAATTGGTGACACCCTTCCTCCCCACATTAGGGAGAAGGAAATAAATTATGACAGTGTTTGCAACCGTATTGTAATTCAGATAGAGTGCAGTTTCTGGGGTGGGGGGCAGTCACTCTCCAGAGCGCAGGTTCCCTCCTTCGATAATTTGAGAGCCCCAGCTGGTCCTCACCGCCCAGCTCCGGTAACAGACCTCCGGTTCAGCTGGGGCCAGCCCGCTCCCTCCCGGCAGTATGGTGACCCACTGTTCCGCCACCTGCCTTGTGTGCCCAGTTCCTGAGCTGCGAGCTGTCAGCGACCAGGAGAGCCAGGACGGCCTGTACCAGAAGTGGCAGATGCTGCTGGCCTACGCGCTGCACGCCCTGCCCTTCAGCGTCATCGCCACCGTGGTTTTCAGCAGCGTGTCCTACTGGTAAGGGGGTGACTGCGGGTGTTCGGTCCTCTGGGCCAGGCCTCCCGCGTGGTCCCAGACATGGGGGCACTCAAAGGGGGAGAGCTCCAGGGCAGAGAGCCACCAGGTTCTTTGTATTTCTCCTGCGTCAGCACTCCTGCTTAGTGGAAGTAGAAATGTGCTGGATCGCAGGTGGAGTCGGGGCTCCCACTGCAGCAAGGACGGCCCGCCCAGCGTGAAGGCTTTCTAAAATCTGTACCTGCCACATTCCAAACACGTCTGGCCCTGAAGTGTTGCAGATAATGGGTTACAGTCATAAACAAATCTCCAAATGACTTTAATGCAAGAAGGTTTAAGATTAGTATTATAAGGAAGCACAGAGAGTCTGCTAAGGAAAATAATAGTAATAGCTAACACATGCTGAGCACTTGCTTTATGTTGGGCACTAAGAGCTTTAAATATACTAATTCGTATAATCCTTATAGCCATTCTATACAGGTGATATTATAACTTGCTTGTTTGTTGGCAAGGAAACTGAGGCACAGATGGAATGAGTGGCCTTCCCCATCTCACATCCATTACCCTGAGTTAATCACAAGTGAGGCCAAGAGTCTGCTTGGTTGGTGGGGGGAGAGGGACTCTTGGAGGCTTATGGAGGAGAACCTGAGAGCCAGCAGCATTTCAACAGGGAAAAGGGAACGAGGACATTCCAGGGGAAGGAGCAGCAGGGACATAGGTGGAGGCAAAATCGCAGAAGACCTTTCCAGAGACCAGTTTCAGTCTCGCTGTGGGGAATGAAGTGTTGCGGGGAGCAGTGGAAAGCATGTCGGCCAGCCTTGGAGCCCAGTGGGGGAGGCGCTGAATGTCAGGTGAAGGGGCTGAAGTGGGTTTGATAATGGGACATGGGAGAGGATTTGGCACCGGTCTGCGTGGGACTTGAGGGTGAGGCACTGGCCGGCCCCATGAGGAGCCCTGGCCACAGGCAGAGGCCCTAAAGAGAGAGCAGCAGTGGTAACAGAAAGGAGGGGTCACTTTGAGAAGCTGGGAAAATGAAGTTGAATGTTTGTTGTGGGTAAAGAAAGTCATGGATGATGCCTGAGTTTCCAGCCTGAGGGAATGGGGGAGGGGCAGCATCCTTATCAAGTCTTCGGGGAAAGAATGGATTTGGCTCTGAACACATTACACCTGGGGGGCCACGCGACCCCCACCTGGAGATGCCAGTCTGAGGTTTGGGTGACGGCCTGGAGGAAAGACAAAGTAAGAGCAGTAAGAGAACAGGGCTGGGAATGGATCCTGGAGGAGGGGGTGTCGGAAAGGGAGGGAGCAAAGCAGGCTGCGTGCGACGTCTTAAAAGGCACGTGCAGAGGGCGGGAAGAGGAAAGCAATCCCATGACAGAGGCAAAGGGGGTGGTCAGGCAGGTGGGAGGAGAAGCAGGGCCGAGCGAGCAGCACCAGAGGAGCCGAGGGAGGAGAGAGTCCAGGGAGGCGTTGTGGAGGTTCGAGGAGGTGAGGCATACGATCAGGAGGCCATTGGTGCGCTTCAGTAACTAAAAATAAAACAAGAAACGGGTGTCAGTGGAGTGGTGGGGGTGCGAGTCAGGCTCACAAGGGGACAGAGTGCGATGGAGGAAGCAGATGCTGTTGGAGGAGCTTGGGGTACAGGGTAGGAGGAAGGGGGTCAGCAGCTTAGCCGGCTGTCAGGCTCAGGAATGCCTGCTTCCGGATACGGTGAATGAGACCAGCAGGATGAAGGCATTCGCTGGAGACAAGGTGAAATTATTGAAAAACTGGATCATTCACAGCTGCAGTTTACAGAGGAGACCAAGGTAAGGACAGGGGAATCAGGAAAACATGGGATCAAGGTAGGGAGTGTCAGGGTTGGCAAAGTGTGGGGCCCGGGGAAGAGAGAAGTAGGGAATGGGAGGTGAATCCAACTGCTGAGCACTGGGGAGAGAGTTTGAAACTGGGGGGAGGGGGTGACTTAAAGCAATTGTTTACATTAGCCACAGTGGGACCTGCCCAATAAGAAATGAGGAAACATTAGGGGTGCGTCTGGAGTCAGCTGAGACAAAGTGACAGCAGGAGTCCAATTAGTATAGCGTGACACCTTATTTCACACACCTTGAGGTGCTTAACCGAGACAGCAAGGGTCCCCAGGTGTGGAGATTGGTAAGGCAAAGGTCAGCAGAAGGGGACAAGGACTGGAACATGGAAGGCAGGAGGGAAGCCATGATTAGAGGGGGCATTTTCAGAATCTGAAATCTTGGAAGTGGAACCGTTTTTAGTAACATTTAAGTCCAAGACATGGTGTGTGACCAAGATTAGGGGGATGAGACCCCTGGAATCCATCAGCTTACCCCATTAGGAGTCATTGAAGTTGATGTTTCATCAAGAAGGTCAAAGACCTTCAGGTTAATGATAGTGGATAGGAGTGGACAGAATGCCCCTGGTCCAGGTGCTATAAAACCATCAAAGGTGAGGGAATGTTTTAAAAGTCACAGAGGATTGCAGTAGATAAGAGAATCAACAGTCTCAGCAAACGTCATGATTTGTGAAAGAGGAAAGGCGTATGGCCTTGAAGAGTGGTGGTGGAGGGGGTGGATCTAAGACACGCCAACTCCTTTTCCTAACCCTGCAAACGGAAGAAAGAGCAGCCTGTCTAATGGTTGTTGAGGATACTAGCACTGGGGAAATGCTATTTGGCTGAAGTAATATAGGAGTTAAGGGGCATGGATTTAGGGTAGTCCATTTACAAGAAAATGAGGGTCCAACTGATGGAAAGGGTTGGAGAACAAAAAGCAAGAATGGAATGGGGTAGGCCTGGGAGGGCTGATCCGATGGGAGGTGGAGGCAGTGCAGTGTTCCCGAGCTATCCATAACCCCACATAAGGCGGGTGAGATTCAGGGAGCGGGTGCTGAGAGGCAGGTGGGGTGAGCCCCGCTAGCCTTAGAGGGTAGTAGGCTAGCTCAGGTAGGAGCAGCGCTAGCTAGGCAGAGCATGTCGTTTATGGAGAGGCCTGGTGAGTTCAACAACCCTATGCATTGCAGTTAGTTGTACTGTTGTTTGAACACGAGTATTTTCCTATGAGAGCTGAAGGAGCTGTAAGAGGGAAAAGGTGACTCACACTGACCTGGAGCCAACAGAAGCAACTGGTGGTAATAAATGGTCTCAAACGCTGGCTCTGTGCCCAAAAGGCCTTGCAAAGGGGGTGTGACTTGTCCTGCAAACCCTTCCCCTCCACTAACCATCATGGACTCATTCTTAGAAGGCAAATGTGGTATTTTTCTTAAATGATAACCTTGGAGAGAAACTAAAAACCTTCTGTATTTTTAGGACTCTGGGCTTATACCCCGAGGTGGCCAGATTTGGATACTTCTCTGCTGCTCTCCTGGCCCCCCACATAATTGGTGAATTCCTAACTCTCATGCTGCTTGGAATGGTCCAAGACCCAAATGTGGTCAACAGCGTGGTGGCTCTGCTCTGCATTGCTGGGGTGCTCGTGGGATCTGGATTCGTGAGGTAGGTTACGATGAGGCGAAGCATTTAGATTGGTGTGATTTGTTAAGATCACCGGATGCCGGCTGTTATTACGGAGTTCCAGAGGAGAGCTATGTGATACTAGTTTAAAAGTGGCACCTTATAATCTGGGTGCTTGCTAATCGTCATTGCTCAGATCTGAGGCTGTTCACCATTTGTTCAATAAAATGTCTTCATGCTGAGAACTGGGAAATGGCCTTTTAGGCATGTTATCAATATGATCACAAGTAATAAGCCATTGTACTAATAGGAGGAAAACCAGCTCAGAAAAAACCCACAGCCGGTAGTACAAGGTGCAGGACACGAGTTTAGTTCATTTCGGCGCCGCCCTGGTGGCTCTCGGTCCCAGCCCGTCCTCACTCACATTTAGGTGTTAGAGTAGTCAGATAAGAAAGCATCCCCAGCATGAAAGATGCTCCAGAAGGTGGCAGAACTAGAGATACACAACAAATGTGAACAGTGATTAGCTCTCGGTGATATCTTTTTATTTCTTTCCTCATATTTTCCTATATTTTGTGAATTTTCTATCATGGACAGGTATCATTTTGTATGATACCAAGGAACAGATGAAAAGAAGTAGCATATAAATAAATAAAAAGTAGCGTATGTGATATAAAGGACCTATTCTTATATTAAAAAGGACACAAGGAGAATAATATGAAAGTGCTATGAGTACATTTTTAAAAAAGAAGTTGCAGGAAGGATGGAAAATTTTAGGGTAAAAGATCCCAGGCAGGCGGAGGGGGAGCCGGTAAGTAAACTATGGGGCCCCCAGGGAATGTGAAAGAGACGTTGGGTTTTTTACTTAAAAATCAAATAAACAAAATAGTTATTGAGCATCTAAATACTTTTATGTTTACTTATTTAACTCTCAGAGCGATCCACGCTCAGGGAGAAAACTAACGTCAGACCTGACTCAGCTCCAGCCACGTGGCTGCCTGGAGAGAGGAGACTGGGCCTGGGGTCCAGGGCTGCCTCCGCCACCTCTCGGCCAAATGGCCGTGGGCAGGCTGCTTTTCTATCTACACTAGTTTCTTCATCTATAATGTGGAGATAATGATCTTGGCTCCACTTGCCTCGAGGGATCTTGAGAAGCCAATGACATACTCCATGGGAAAACGCTTTATGAGCTGTAGCGTGTTATATAAAGGCGAGATATTATAAAAAGAAGTGAGCTGGGGTTTGATGAGTCATGAGGACTTTTTTTTTTATAATGACGCCGTTACGTTTGCCTGTGGTGCCTAAGTGGGTCATTAGCGTCTGTGAAAAATGCACAAGTCAAATCACCGACGGGCACAGCATCAAGCCAGCAGGGCACAGACCTTGGACAGCGTCTCCTCTTTCATACGTGTTTCAGTCATTACAGGTGCCAAACAATCTGGCAACATTTCATGTATTTGGTGTGTAGGAAGAGGGGAGTAATTGTCTTAGAAGAGAAGCAGTGGCCAATGTGAACAGTTGCTTTTAGGTTCTTTGCAAACTCTCAACATCCCAAGGCTTCACCTGGGTTCCACTCCCATCTTGAAACTCTGCTCTTGAAAACCACTTTCACCTCTTAGTCAGTTAGTTTCTATTTTCCCCTGAAGTCATCATCTTCCCTGGCTGACTGCCTGCAGCATCTGAGCTCTTGGCTGCCTCTTCCTTTAAACCCAATTGGAAATACCTTCACTGCTCTTTCTATTTGCAAAATCATGCAAGTTCACTGCAGGGGTGCACACCAGGCAGGAATGTATGAGGGAGACAGTCAAAGTTACCTGAAGTATCACAACTCAGAGTTAAATTTCATTGTGTATCTTGCTAGACATTTACATAAATTTTTAAATAAAAATGAAATCATACTATTGGGAAGGGGTGAAGTATGCCTGCTCTTTTCCCCACTTAACAATATAATGTGGACAATCCCATATCAATAAATTTAGACTCATGGTTCCTCTCTCTTGAGAGTACTCCAAGGGCTTCTATGATTGCCTGGTTCTCTTCCTCCGTCTTCCACTGTCTGTCATCCTATTCCAGGCCATTATCATCTCACACGAGAACTTCTGCTGTAGCCTGCTCCCTTTTTTGCTGTCCCTAATCTGCCCCTATTCTGGCCCACCCGACTTGCTGATGCCGTATTTTCTGAAAACACAGATTTCTACATGAGCTTTCTCAGGGTCCTTCAATGTCAACCTGCTGCAAGGCCCTGAAGCTGCTGGTTCCTGGCTGTCATTCCAAACTTACGTCCCTCTGCCCACACTGTCCCCACTGCCCAGGCTCTGCTCTGGCCCTTCCCAGTCTGTTCGGTCCCCTAAGGGAAGCCCTTGACCTGCCTGTGCTCACGACCTCTGTGCCTTCCTAGAGCACCTTTCCTCTTCCCTACGTCCTCCCCAGACTCCTGCCTGTCTGTCCACTTAGCAGCCTCTCAGTATGGCTAATTCCACTCTGTGCCTCAGAAAACTGCCAAGAACTGAAAGTCATGGAGTGGCGGGGGGGGGGGTGCGTCACTTGGGAATAGCTGAAACCGTAAATACTACATACGAAAATGTTACTGATATGCATTATTGGTTTTTAATTACTTTCTAGGCACCAGTCGTTTGCCACTGTACTTTTAGAGTCTAAAGGATATAAAGTCTATGTCCCCAGCTACACTGTGACTTCTTTAGGGATAGGATACGTCCTTTGAATTCCTCAAGCACTTAGATGTAGTATTTTGCAAACAGAAAGAATTTGATATAGGTTCGTTAATTGATGGAAGCTACATGGTGGACCAAGAAGTCCATCTGCAAGGTCATTATGAGGTTTCTCCTGAGACAGGCTGAAGAGGAGACTGTTCATTTTCACGGTGAATGTCTGCCTTTCCCCTTGGACGGTAGTTTAGTTCTCACTTCGTATGTGAACACCATCCAATATGTTTAATCACAAATAGCTTCCTCTAATGTAATGTGTGTTAAGTATGTTTTTCTTTTACACATATGTCAGTGGTACTTACCCAAAAAAGTAAACACCAACCCATCATCAGGGGATTGATTATTAAATTAAGTTTCTACTAGAATCAACCACCAAGCTCCCCAGCTAGCGTGCACCATTGACATAAGCCCAGCCCTGGGTGCATCAGCCCAGGAGGTGGCTGACCCAAGGTTCTCTCTCTTCCTCTCCTCTAAAACGGATAAAAAACATATCCTCAGGTAAGGATAAAAAGTGACAGAGTGCTATGCATACTGACCCTCCCTGACTTTGAAGGATGTCTGAGACATAAGTTTGGTTGCAGAAGCAGGTTAGGAAAGAGCATGAAGAGTTCATTCCCATTTATGTAAAGTCTTACAGACGCACACATCCACGCGTGTCATCAGACTGCCAGCAATAGTTACTTCTAGGCAGCGACGTTTCTCTGGACTTCTCAGGGCTGTCTGCAGCTTCTGTAGTAAGTGCCGTGTTTACAGTGAGACGGAAAGCCATGTAGATAAACACACGGGAAGGCTGGCTGTTCTCTTCGTCTGGTGGGGCTATAACCAGAGCCTACTGAATGTCATCTCTCTTTCTTTTCCTTAAGAAACACAGAAGAAATGCCCATTCCTTTGAAAATCTTCACTTATTTTACATTCCAAAAATATTGCTCTGAGATTCTTGTAGTCAATGAGTTCTATGGGCGGAATTTCACTTGTGGTAAGTATTCTACTTTGGAATGTTACTTTTATGTATTCCCCCGAGGAAGCAATTTCCTGAAATTCATTTTTTAAATAAAAGCTGTATTTTTTGTAACAAATACAATTAAAACCTTGTTTCAGGATAAAAGTCTAACATTTTCTCTGGTTTTTAAAGTGAAATTGGCAGTGGTCAAATTAGACCCCTGTCCGAGGCCAGTAGCTTAGAGCCACTCTGATGTTTTTAGGAAATGACAGCTGAGACGCACACTGGGGGGAAGCAGCCTGGGTGGAAGCAGTTTCTGCTGGGCTGGTTGAAGTGGGGTACAGCGGCTTCTTGTTCCCCAAATGCACGCAGTACAGGGCTGAGTGAAGTCACTTGTGGAAAAAGGCCATTCCCTGATCCCACAAGAGGTCAGTGAGTGCGTCATGAAGTCCTTCTGGCCATCGGGGTTCCCAGGCCATGCTGTGCTGTCAACTGAAGCACAGAGTGAAATCTAGTAGTTTTAAATATCTTTAGGCGACATCAGTAATCTTAGGATAGTTGGTGCTAAGTGATCATAAGTGATCGTGATTTTTATTGGTGCTATGGGGAGGAACACAAGTACACACTCAAAGATGGAAACCTATTTCCATCTTCATTCAAACGAAGCCAAGGCCCAGAACACTCATGGTGGCTTCATCTAATAATGATTTCGGGGCTGTCTCAAATGTCCTGAATCTTTCATGGAGAAGGGTACTTTGCACCCTCCTAAGTGGGCATTTGGTAAATACTTGCTAGTTCAGAACTAACTACGCCTCACAATGTGGATCTTTCCCCCGGCAGGCAGCTCCAATGGCTCTGTGACAGCCAACCCACTATGCGCCTTCAGGGAAGGAGCTCATTTCATTGAGAGGATCTGCCCGGGTGCAACGTCCAGATTCACAGTGGACTTCCTGATTCTGTACGCCTTCATCCCGGCTCTCCTCGTTCTGGGGATAGTTGTTTTTAAAGTGAGGGATCACCTCATTAGCAGATAGTAAAGCAAGGTGTCGTGAAAACAGAACTTCAGCTCCCAGAAGTGCGTGACTGCTGTGAACATCTGAAATCAGAATGCAGGTGTTTCTTTCTTGACAGCACACTTGAGGGTTTTTAAATCATTAAGACTCCTTTTGTGCCCTTGGATCCATGCAGGCCGTGAATGCTATTCCCAGTTGCAGGGATGTGCAGTGTTTGGAAATGGTGACTAAGCCAGTCCAAAACTGTAGATAACAATAATTCACAAGGTCATGGAGACTGTGCTATTTCTTTTCTTTGCACAGAAAAATAGGTCGATTAAAAAATTATGCTGATGTTTGACAAAGGATTCAGTAAAAAGAAAACATTTGAATAGTTACAGCCTGTAAGTAATAGAAAAGGGAGCTGTGTGTGTGATTAAAGCAAAGTATCCTCAGAACTGGGTAAGAATGCTTTCATTACCACTGAAATGCCCTTAATTCTGTGCACAAGTCCAAGTGAGGGTTCTGAGTTACCCGGTTGTGTGGAGGGGATGGTGGACAGATGCGGGATGGTGAAGACCGCTGAGACAGAGCACTCGGTGATTTGGGGGAGAACTAACATGAAAAATTGCGTGATTGGGCCGAACTGAGTGCATAGCACACCTCTAGGATTGTCTTTAAAGATTAGTTGACTGTTCTTCACTCTCCACTTAGTTTATTTACACAATGAGAAGTAAATGTTATTAGATAAAGTGACTATACCAAGAAATGACATCTTTAAGGTTAGACAGCCATTGTTTAAAGTCCATATAAAAATGCTCAGCTGACACACTTACACTCAGAAGAACAGGGTCACACACTAGGAGTTCATGTTCTCGGATTGTAAAGGGAAAGAATGCTGATAAGTACAAACACCTATGTTACATATTTTTAGGGGTCAAATGTTGTATGTAGATGGTATATAAATGGCTTATATACTAAATGACTGATTATCTTTTTGATTGATCTTAAAGTAATTCATACATAAGTCTGAAATAAAGCTGTGTCAGTGTTACCATGGTAACTCTGAGAGAGATATCTTAGAGAGTACAAGAACTTTGTTCAGTTACTATGACCTAACTTTACAAGAATGATAAATTATAGCATTTGAAATGTCTCACATTATGGTATAAAGGATCATTTCATTGTAAAAATTCTATTTCTTAGAACAGTATTTAAGGATCTGGAGACATTGGTAAATTACCAGAATAGTATTGTCAATTTTTATAAAAGGTCTTTGACACTGATGATTATGGTATAATAGTTACATAATGCCTTACAGATTATATATGTCACATCAGTTAGAGACAATTCTGGAGATGATAATCTATTAAAGTAGTTCAAAGAGAGTCCCACAGGAACCTCTTTTGAAATCACTGATTTCAACTTACTAAAGATATGGGTGTACAATGTAAGTGGAAACATTTTCTACTATTCATATGCAGATGAATTTCATTCTACCTCGGAAACATTTGGAAAATTGGCATAGCATGTGACTGCAAGCTATTAAATGTTAGTGATACCATCTTGGAGAAACACAATGACTTTCAATATGTGACAGTTTGTGTCTTTAGTCAAAAATGGACAGTGATGTTTAAGAAAATCAAATTATATCATACAAATTCTTACTGTTGTGAAATAGGCTGTTTCTTCCCACCAAGTCAGTGATTTTTCTGAGATCATAACGTTCCGTTAATTTTTTTTAAAAAATTTTATTGTTGTTCTGCATTTACTCCCCCCAGCCCCCCCAGCCCCAACTCCTTCCCCTGCTTCCACCCCCTCCTTGGTTTTGTCCATGTGTCCTTTATAGTTGTTCCTGAAAACCCTCCCTCCCTTCCCCCTTATCCTCTCCCACCTCCCCTCTGGTTACTGTCAGATTACTCTTAATTTCAATGTCTCTGGTTATATTTTGCTTGCTTGTTTGTTTTGTTGATTATGTTCCACTTAAAGGTGAGATCATATGGTATTTGTCCCTTACCTCCTGGCTTATTTCACTTAGCATAATGCTCTCCAGATCCATCCATGATGTCATGAAGGGTAGGAGCTCCTTCTTTCTTTCTGCTGTGTATAGTGCATTAGCACATTGTGTAAATGTACTGTAGTTATTGACCCACTCATTACTAATGGGCACTTAGGTTGCTTTTAGCACTTGGCTATCATAAATAGCACTGCTATGAGTTTTGGGGTGTAAAGGTTCTTTTGGATTGGTGTTTCGGGGTTGTTAGGGTATAATCCCAGCAGTAGAACTACTGGGTCAAAAGGCAGTTGCATCTTAGTTTTCTGAAGAATTCCATGCTGTTTTCCACAGTGGCTGCACCAGTCTGCATTCCCACCCACACGCTCACTGTTAATTTAAAGGGAGCTCTGTCTCCACAGCACTCAGGCATGGAGCCTGTCAGCTCCTTAAGCTGAGGTTCCTCGGACACGAGCTGCCAATCCTATTCTCAATGGTGCTGGAACCACATGTACTGCTGTGGGGTGAGGCAGTCATTTCATGGCAACAGTCAGATGGCTGGCTATTCACTCACATACCACTCGTCAGTCCTGGTGTTCCTGGGGTTAGTAGGTGTGCTTCTTTCAAGCTGGGTGCATGACATGTTAGAGTCAACATATTTTACAGTGGAAATGGAAGAACACTGAGTAAATAACTTTTCTGGTTAATAATAGCAATTCTCCTTACTCCAAATTGAACTTGGATAGCAGGTACACAAACCTACAAGACTGAGAAGGCATCTTAAAAGCTATTCCACCTTAGAAATAATCTTGGTTATTACCAACTCGTGGAGTTTTGGTCTGCTTATTGACAGGATATCTCCTTAAAATTGGCTTTTCTTCCAAAAGTTATACTAAAAAAACTGTCATGATCACCAGAGGTGCTGATTTAAAAATGCGGTTTCCGGAGTCCCACCCCAGACTCACTGAATCCGGATTTCCGTGTGGGGACTCGGGAACGTGCATTTTCTCCGGGTGCTTTTTTGTGCCTCGCCATCTGGGGACATTAGGATGCTGGTGAAGTGAGCCCAGTTCCAGTGTCCTGCCAGCCACAGCGGAGAACTCCTCAGGGGAGGAGTGTGCCTTCTGTGAGCACTTGACCTTATGCAAAACTGCTGCTGAATGCCTGCGCTTTCATATTCCTGACGACACAGAAGCAGAAACTTATAACTGCTGAACCAAGTGTACATTACTTAACTGTGGTAGAGGTAGGTAGCAAAAGATTATTTTTATTTAAAAAAATATTACACATAGTTACACATTTTTTTCCCTTTTAAAACACTTGTAAATATCCTGGAGGTGCCACTAATACAAGAAATTCACTTTTCCTTTAACAAATCACACATCTTAACTTTCTTCATTTATTACCACAACAGCTAGTTTATGAATTGGCTATTTTTAATATTATTTACTAATAACAAATAGCCAATTTATTAATTAGCTAATATTAATAAAATAATCTTACTTGTATTGGGGAAGAAGAGATAATACACTATCGTGAATGAGGTTTAAGAATCCAGCTCGATTTGTTTCCAAGACTTGGACGAACTTCTTTTGTATTGTTCCAGTTCCTAAGACAAAAATATGCATCATAGTACTTTAAAAAAATCAACTTTAAAAATTGAACTAGGCATCTCAAAACTCCCTTAGCAGTTTTAGAGATAACAATATATCTTTTACAGCATTCTCAAAATTTCTTGACAATTCTTTTGTAAATGATTATACTTAGTATTTATTTTCTAGAATGTAGAGTCTTTGAAGTTTCTGGGTAGCTTAAGCAGTACTTAGAGATGAATTTAATAAAATTTCAGACAAAATGATATACTATATAGTACATATAAATATCCTCAACTAATAAAGTATTTGTCTTACTTTAAGTATTGAAAAGTGGCCTTATTTTTAAATTGTTCTGCTGTTCAACTCTTGTCAAAACCCACTTGAAGTCAGTGAAGACACTGCAGTGTGTATATCGACACAGAGTTGGGAGCAGTTTAGATGACTTCCCAGCGAAGACTGGTTCAGAGCATCAGTCCACATTCACATGTGGCTTCCCAGCCACCAGCAAAAGAAATGGTGGTCATATGTAGTGAAAAAAGCAAATAGTTGGAGAGAGGACAGGACACTTCCATTGTCCAGTATATATGATGAGGTCTGTCCAGACCATTGTTAACATAATGAAAATGGTTGGGTGTGACATCGATGTAACCTGGCAGCCAAGGAGAGTGTACTGGAACGTGCATGTGCGAACAATGACGACTTCCCTGTACTAGTCAGTGGGGTGGTAGATGATGTAGTGAGCATGTGTACTGTGCAGCCGTCGCATTCAAAATGAGTGAGTAGAACTATGAATCTGCATCAAATTATGCATTAAGTCTGAACATTCTCATGCGGAAACCATTCAGATGATTCAGAACACCACAGCAGTGGGTAACTGGTGACTGGCAGCTTCATCAGACACCAGGCCCGCTAATTCATCCCGTCTTGTTCAGAGTTTTTTGGTGAAACATCAGATCATCCAGGTGACTCAGCCCCCATACAGCCCAGATTTGGCACCCTGAGATTTCTGGTTTTTCCCAAAACTAAAATCACCTTTGAAAGGGAAGAGACTTCAAACTGTCGATGATTTAGGAAAATCCGATGAGGCAGCTGATGGTGATTGGGAGAACTGTGTGAGGTCCCAAGGTGCCTGCTTTGAAGGGGACTAAGGCATCATTGTCCTATGTACAGTATTTCTTGTATCTTCTTCAATAAACATGGCTGGACAGCCCTTGTACACTTCTATTCTTTTGAACGTTTTCACAATGAGCATATGTTACTTCTTAAAGAATTTTATTTTTCGGTTAGTCTACATTCGATATTACTTTGTTTTAGTTTCAGGTGTACAGCATGGCGGTCAGACAGTCATATCCTTTACAGTGATTCTCCCAATATTTCTGGTACCCACCTGGTGCTATACACAGTTATTACAGTATTGTTCCTTATATTCCCCGTGCTGTACATTACAGCCCCGAGACTATAACTATTACAATTCATAAAACAGAGATAAATTTTCGTGGGAGTGGAAATCTTCCACGACACCACCGACACACAGGAGGGATCATCCAAGGGACTGGCTCCTCCCAGCCTCTTACATGTTGTTCAATGTCTGAACTGCACCAAGTAAAACGTTATGTTAGATAAGCCAAAAGTGATCACCCTGCACGACCAGGCAGTCACTGCCCTTTGACTAACGTAACCGAAGGTCATTGTTGCCGTGAAAAGAAAATTCCAATCTCGTTTTCAGAAAAACTGCAGACTGGCTCATTTATACCTATACTCTAAGTCATTAAAATTTAAATGCTAAAAGTTTCAAAACTATATATAGACTTTGGAGGGATTTTTATACTAATAACTCCAGTGAAGTTGTTACAGCATGGTTTATTTGCTCTAATGAAGTTAATTCAATTCACCAGTTATCTACCACTTATGGTTTAAAGATTGGTAAGTCATAAAGTAAGCCCCAATAATTATTTTCTCCAGTGATAAAGACAAGGGCATTGCCCTGGCTGGTGTGGCTCAGTGGATTGTCGGACTGTGAAGCAAAGAGTCACCAGTAGATTCCCAGTCAGGGCACATACCCGGGTTACAGGCCAGGTCCCCAGTGTGGGGTGCGTGAGAGGCAACCACACACTGATGTTTCTTCCCCTCTCTTTCTCCCTCCCTCCCCTCTCTAAAAATAAATAAATAAAATATTTTAAAAAAATGAGGGCACTGCTTTGGGATGCTTTGCTAGTAGTAGGTCCCTTCCTCAGACAGCAAACTTAGAAGAATGGGGCTGGTCACACAGGCCATGCCAGAGGGGGATAAAGAATGAATAACTAGTATGATACAGAACTCAGCATGTCCACTAGATCCCTCAGTACTGCTATTATGTGAACATAAAATAATGTGAGAATGGTTCAAAGGCCAGCAAGTAAGAAGGTTTTCTTTCTCCTGCAATTCTGGGTGGCTGCTTAGGGAGCCATTTGAAAAGTGAAAGCACAACAAAGAAAGGTTCCCATCTTGCCTCTTAAGAGTCTCTCAAGTTTTCAAATATAAATGGGTCACAGCATTATAATGTTTAAACAGCATCTTCAGTAAAGGACAGCAAGATCATTTTCCCCTAAACATGTAAATCTGTGTGTGTGTTTAAATGATAAGCCTACAGATTATCAGCAAGTTGATTTTTTGAAAACAGGGATTTCATACTGGGGGGACAGCTCTGTAAAGTCCATGGCTGTCTAACTGTGCTATACATCTAAAACTGCTACAGAATAATGCTGAATGTAAACTGTAATTTTAGAAAGCAAAAATTCAAAATGGGTATGTGTGATTGGCCATGAAGATCTTAAAAATAATTGTTTACCTAAACTTTTTCTTTTCTTTGATAATAAAAGTAGGAAAGAGGTAGAAGGACAAGTACTTTTTTTTTAAAGCAAATACTTTCTATACTCACATTCCCTAAAAATCAGGAATGTTTTAAAACTAGAGGGCTTCCCTGGCTGGTGTGGCTCAGTGGATCAAGTGCCAGCCTGTGAACCGAAATGTCAAGGGTTCAATTTCCAGTCGGGACACATGCCTGGGTTGCGGGTTTAGACCCCATTAGGGGCACATTCAAGAGGCAACCAATCGATGTTTCTCTCCTCTTTCTCCCTCCCTTAACCTCTCTCTACAAATAAATAAATGAAATTTAAAAGAAAATTAGAGGGCTATAAGAAAGAGTAAATACTGAAGAAGTATTTTCTGGTGACCATGTGAATTCTAGAAAAGAGAGAACTTTGCTAGGTAAACATGGCTTGCCTTCTCACACAACCACATCAAAATTACAACTAAAATATACAATAATCAACACTCAGAACTGTCAGAAATCTAGTTGAATGGAAGTCTGACAACTACAGAATTAAAGAAAGCACATCCATCCAGACTGGTAGGAGGAGTGGAGATGTGGAACAGGCTGGTCCACATCCAACATGCGGTGTATAAAACTTCAGGAGGGACATCTAGGGACCGAGGAGTCCCAGGGACACACCAGACCCCCCAGATCCAGTGCCAGGAAGGTAAGTTCCCATAGCTTCTGGCTGCAAAAACCAGCAGGGATTGAGTCAGTGGAAAAACTGCTGGATTCCCAAGCAGTTCCCCTAAAGAGCCCACATGGACTTAGACTCCCTCTGAGCTCCAGCACCAGGATAGCAGCTTTAAAGGCACCAGTGGCTTGAAAGGAACTGAAGTATGAGGCATCAAGGCAGGAGCTGGGGGACAGCTTTCTCCTGGATGGATAGGCAGGCAGAAGCCACTGTCCTTTTTCTGAGCCCTCTTTCCAGAGAGCCACAGAGCTGTCAGGTAGATGCCATATTTGAGAGATACCATCAACTTGGCTTACACTCTTTGCCCCGATCTGGAGATCCTCAGAGACTCTGTTCCATCCAACTTATGAACCCACCTGAAGTGTTAACAGTGACTTTCCCATATAAATGGCTGGTTTTGGCTCATGCTACACAATGTCCTAAATCCTATCAAGCAAAACCAGCTTCAGTAAGCTGCCAGCCCCCCATACCTCTTACTAAGTGGCCCTAGACCTGACACTGGCAGCAGCCACCCTAGATTCACAGCTTGGCTTTGCCTGGGAATCTCCAAACCCAGCACAAGTAATAGCCATCTCAGGTTGCTTTACAGTGCATGCATGGTAGGCCTGGGTAGACACTGATGGGGGCTAATTTTGGCCTGCACTACGTGGGAGATCCAGAGCCTGCACACCCTGTGGCTAGCACAGTCCATGTTGGAGAACCACCACACTGCCCCTGCACAGCTGATCGTCCACAGATGGTGGAGGTTGGTAGTCAGTGGTCACGGCCAGTCTTTGTAGCTGACTGGCCTGGGTAAATCCCTCCCACTGACCTACCAACAGCAACCAGGGCTCAACTACAAGAAGAGGGTGTACTCTGCCCACATGAAGGGTGCACCTCAAGTGCCCAAGCTGAGTGTTCGGGGAGGCTGTGCCATGGGACCCTAAAGGACATCTACAACATTAGGCCATGCTACCAAGAGAGGGAGTCATAGCAGCTCTACCTAACACACAGAAACAAACACAAGGAGGCTGCCAAAATGAAGAGACAATAAAACATGACCCAAATGAAAGAAGAGATCAAAACTCCAGAAAAAGAGCTAAAAAAATGAAGATAAGCAATCTGTCAGATACAGAGTTCAAAACACTGGTTAGAAGGATGCTCAAGAACTTAGGGATGACCTTGATAGCATAAGAGAGATCTGGTTAGAAACAAAGGATACATTAATTGAAATTAAAAAAAAACAGTTTATAGGGAATCAACAGTAGAGTGGATAAAGCTGAGAATCAAATCAATGATCTGGAACTAATCAGAACAACAAGAAGAAAAAAGAATCCAAAAAAACTAGGATAGTGTAAGCAGCCTTTGTAACAACTTTAAGCTTTACAACATTCACATCATAGGGGTGCCAGAAGGAGAAGCAACATGACAAGGAATTGGAAATCTATTTGAAAAAAATAATGAAAACTTCTTTGATTGGTGAAAGAAATGGACAGACAAGTCCATGAAGCATAAAGAGTCCCAAACAAGATGGATACAAAGAGGCCCACTCCAAGATACATCATAATTAAAATGCCAAAGGTTAAAAATAAAGAATCTTAAAGTAGCAAGAGAAGAGCAGTGAGTTGCCTATAGGGGGTTCCCATAAGACTGTCAGCTGATTTCTCAAAAGAAATTTTGCTGGCTAGAAGGGATTGGCAAGCAACATTCAAAGTCACGAACCCAGCAAAAACACCATTTAGAATCAAAGGGCAGATAAAGAGCTTCCCAGATAAGAAAAAACTAAAGGAGTTCATCATCACTAAGCCCTTATTGTATGACATGTTAAAAACTTATTTAAGAAAAAGAAGATCAAAACTATGAACAATACAATGGCATGAAATACATTATCTATCAACAACTGAACCTAAAAAACAAAGCAAGCAAACAAGAACAGAGACAGAAACAAGAACAGAGACAAAGCATTTTGATGGTTGCCAGATGGGAGGGGATGTGGGGAATGGGTGAAGAGGTGAGGGGATTAAGAAGTACAAATAGGTAGTTACAAAATAGCCATGGGGATGTAAAGTACAGTACAGGAAAGGGAGCAGCCAATATGCTTACATGCATAACCCATGGAAATGAACAATGTTGTGGGCAGTGGTTGAAGGAGTGGGGATGCTAGGTGGAGGGGAGCAAAGGGAGAAAATTGGGATGACTGTAATAGGATAATCAATAAAATACAATTAAAAAAGAAAGAACTTTGAGTAATTGGAGAAAAGAGAGCTCATTAGTAAAAATACTTAGTCTTCAGGAAAGGTTCAAGGGGCCTTAAGACCGATCCTCAGACCCGTGAAGACTGATTTCACAGACTGGGAGGACGTCCACCCATCTGTGGGGAGTGGGAGCAAGAGCAATTTTGGAGAGCTGTCATAAATGACATGTCCCACTACCACAGACTTACACAAGGTGGGAGGGAATGCTGTGTCTCGTGCCTCCCCCGCTGGCAGGATTAGGAGGCAGCAATGTGGTTTAGATGCAGTTTTTTAGGAGCAGAGTGATGGATACATCTTTTTTGCTTCATGATTAATTATATGCCTGGGGGCTCTTCTGAAGGCTCACATGTTGGACAAACTGAATGGACCTCATGAGCCAGCCTCTCCATCTTAGAAGTAATGTGGTCTGATTTCACTGCCAAAGCCTGAACTTTATTTTGTTTCATTCCTGATGATTATTAAAGCCGCTGCTCATGGAGCTTGGGGGCGGGGAGAGAGTCAACAGGAGGATCACATCTGGTCTCAGGCAGGCTCAGGGCCAGCCCTCCACTATGTTTTAATGAAACAGGAAGTCCTCTTTCCTTCCAAGAAGCACAAGAATCCAAAGTAACTGTGTGGGTTAGAAGTGTGTAGATGCGGAGCACAGCAGACTTTTTTAAGCATCTCAGCAAGGACCGACTTTTCTGTAATTACGGAAAACCCTGAGCAAGACTTTTTAAATCAGTATTACTGCTCCACGTGGCAAATTAAATCAAAAGATTAGATTGCTATTTTCATTGAAAAATGTTAAGTGGGAATAAATCATAATAAAAAAAATAAAAAGAGGCAACATGAAGAAAGAATGGTAGACAAACCACTATGTTTTTACAGATGAATTCTTTCATTGGCTGTATTAATAAAACTGGCATTAACTCTCCTGTCCATATAAAAAAAGGAAATGTATTTTTAAATGTTTAGAGAGAAAGTATTAAGAATATTTCACAACTTATGGAGAATGTTCTCATACTTAAGTCAGCTTCTGTGTGAATCAGAACACAATTGTAAACAATATAAGGCCCTGAAACTACTTTGGAAGAGCATGAAATAATACACAAATTAAAATATTGGATACTCTATAGTCAAGTTTGGATATCAGTTCAATAATTGAGCATCAACTGGTAATCATTAGGGTAACTTCAAAGCAGAAGCATAAAATTATGTTAAGGTCCTAACTGTGCACACTGAAATCAGTGCAATTTATCTACTGAAACTGGTTTAGAGGCAAAATTAGTATATCATAACATTTTAGGCAGGTTAAAAAATCTCTCATACAACAGAGTACAGAATTTGATGAGTGCGGTGTGGCACAAGAACTGAGTGAAGAATGATAACATACGTGCTATGGATCTGCTGCTTTCCTGTTCCACTCAAAATTCTTCGTTTTACGTCAGTTAGGGAAGATGGATTTGAATGTGAAAACTCATGATACTCAGAAATACCCTGGCCCTTTAATAATATTTATGCACATAAATGTAATAAAAGAGATCATTATGCAATATAAACAGACACTCTTATCAACAAGGGCAGTTAGTCATTGACTTCTAGGTAAACGTTAATTCAGGGAGGACTTCCAACTAATCTCTATAGTTGAGATGGACACATAATAAACGTTAATCGAGGACATTTTACTGTTCTTACAATATGCCTCTCATTTTTTTGAAATTGAGGTATAACAGACATACAACGTTACCTAAGTTTCAGATGTACAACATGATTCAATATTTGTACATATTGTGAACACCACAAGTCAACATCTGTCAACAAATAGTTACAGAATTTTTTTGTGTGTGATGAGAACTAAGATCTACTCTCTTAGCAACTCTCACATACGCAACGCAGCATTATTAACTATACTCGTTGTGCCGTACATCACCGTGACTCATTTTATACCTGGAAGTTTGTGCTTTTGACTCCCTTCCCCCATTTGGTTTATCAGCCACCAATCTGTTCTGTCTATGATCTTGGTTTTTGTTGTTGTCGCCGAGATTCTACATATAAATGAGATCATATGGTACCTGTCTTTCTCTATCTGACTGTCAGGGTCCATCCATGCTGTGGTAAATGGCAAGATTTTGTTATATTTTATGGCTGGATAACATTCCGCTGCATTTGTGTATGTATTCTTTATCCATTCATCTGTCAGTGGACACTTAGGTTGTTTCCATGTCTTGGCTATTATTGTGAGCAGTGCCGCAATGAATATGTGGGTACATAGGTCTTTTTGAATTAGTGTCTTCATTTCCTTAGGATAAATACCCAGAAGTGGAATTGCTAGGTCATATGGTAGTTCTACTTTTAATTTTTTGAGGAGCCCTAACCTCTTTTTCATAGTGACCCTACCATTTTACATTCTCACAAACAGTAAACAGGTATTCTCTTTCCTCCACATCCTCACTAACACTTATTATTTCTCGTCTTTTCAATAATAGTCTATTCGGACAGGTGTCAGGTACTATCTCACTGTGGTTTTGATTTGCATTTCCTTGATGATTAGTGATGTTGAGCATCTTTTCATGTACCTGTGGACCACCTGTATGCCTTCTTTGTAAAAACTGTCTATTCAGTTCCTTTGCCCATTTTTAATTGGATTGTTTGGTGTTGAGTTGGCTAAGTTCTTTATGTAGTTTGGATATTAACTCCTTGGTAGGTGTATGCTTTGCAGATATTTCTCCCATTCAGTTGGCTGCCTTTTCATTTTGTTGATGGTTTCCTTTGCTGTTCAGAAGCATTTTAGGTTGATGTGGTCCCACTCATTTACTTCTGCTTTTGTTTCCTTTGGTTTTGTTGTCAAATACAAAAAAATCACTGAGAAGACCAATGTCAGGGAGCTTACTGTCTGTATTTTTTCTCGGAGCTCTGTGGTTTCAGATCTTGTATCAAGTCTTTAGTCCATTTTGAATTAATTATTGTGTATGGTGTACGATAGTGGTCCAGTTTCATTTTTTGCATGTGGCTGTCCAATTTTCTCGAAATCGTTTATTGAAGTGACAGATGGTCCCTTCTCACACTGCATACTCTTAGCTCCTCTGTCGTAAATTAATTGACCATATGTGCATGCGTTTATTTTGCTCCATTGATCTACGTGTGTGTTTTCATGCCAACACCAGACTGTTTTTAATTCCTAAAACTTTTTGATATAGTTTGAAATCAGGAAGCATGATGCCTCCAGCTTTGTTCTTTTTCCAGCTTGCTTTGGCTATTCGGGGCCTCTGTAGTTCCGTGCACACTTTAGGACTGTTTTATCTGTTTCTGTTGAAATAGGCCATTGGACTTTTCACAGGGCTTGCAACATGCCTGTTTGCTACAGCTACAACCCCTCTAAATATTCATGGCACACGTTTCAAAAGTCTTCTGGATTACATCTAAATAAAATGTTTTGCTTACTTATGCCAGGGTCCCCGAGGGTGGAAGGAGAGTGCTGAGAGAAATACCCAGTGCGTGGCTGTATTCATGTTATCCTTGCTACGGTGTGGCTCTACAAGTTCCTCCCGAGAGGCCGTCAGGGCACTCAGTTCACAGTGTTCACTCTACAAAAGCTTACATACACAAGGGCAGATTCCACACAATGTCTCATTCTATCAAACTATGAGGAGATCTCGGAAGAAAATCTAAGTGTTGGGTCATGATAAATTTACTAGGTTTTGCACTCTTACCACAAACAGTGCTACCTGGGCATGGATGGAGTTCATCACTTCTACCCACTTTCTACCCACTTTCCTGAAAGATCCTGGAGTTTTCAACTATGTTTGTATGCTTTCAGATCAGTAGTACTTAATTTTTCTTGTACAAAAAATATAGGTATGTATGAATGTCCTGATAAAAAACATGCCCTTTAAAATAAGCCCACACACAAAAGAATATTATCAGAGCATCCCCCTAGCAACGAGGTAAGAATCACTACCCATCATAAACTGAAAAATCAAAAAAAGGATATGTGAACATTGAGTGATCTCTGGGTGGTGGAGTGACAGGTGACTTTTAATTCCTTCTTGATGCATATCAGACTTTAATTTTTTTCTAGAGCAAAGATGTACTATTTAAATAATTATATAGTAAAGAAAAAAATCCATTAAGTAAATACCTTGAGAAAAATCTATGGAATTCTAGACATGTTTTTTATGATAATTCAAGATGAAATTAAAAAAAATGTTAAGGATAATACCTGATCCTTCTGAACTCTCATTTCATCAACTTCACTTTCAGCATACTGAGGGTCTTTTGCAGGGTCCTTGATATCTTTTAGTGTGTTGGTACTCTGAAATGGCAATTCTCCAAATCATTTCACGCCCATAACCCCACGCCTTCAGTGCCTCCCCCTTTGTCTCACAGACTGAGTTCCCATTCCTCAGCCAGCCATGAGGGCTCTCCATGGCAGTTTACCACCAGCCGAGGGCCATTTCAAATCCCACCAGGTCTCGTCCCTTCCTCCCCTTTCAGATGATGGTGTCTCCCTTGTCTAACAGCCAGAGTGATCTGTTTGAAAGTGGAGCAGGAACTGTGTCTTAACCCCTGCTTTAACTACTCACAGTGCCTCATATACAATAGATTTTAAGTGACTGTTTAATTTTTGAGCATGAGAGTTGAAAACAAAGTTATCATAATAGGCCCATTGGAATATTTCCCAACAACTGTTGAATAGTGCTAACAATTCTGGCTTTAAAGGAATTAGAAATATATACCTTTGGTGGAAAGAGCTTCTCATACACTTTTTTCCACAACTCCATTGGTGTACGGGCATGAAACTTTCCAATGTCGTTATCAGGAACAGGAGGAGACCCTAAAATGGGAAGGTTTATTTCAATGACCGCACGGATTAAAAGATTCAAACTCTGTCAATAAAATGATGACACTTGGAAAAGTATCAATCTTAGATCACTCATGTCCCTTCTCTGTATTACAGTCACAGCTGAAGTTCACCCCAACACAGCACAGCCAGGCAGGTCCCAAACCAGATGAAGAAGAGACAGTACTGAGGAAACTGGAATTCTCTTTCCCCACACTTCAATTGCTACCAAGCAAAAATATACAAGCTTGATATTCTCCTGTGCATGCGAGTTTGTAAGAAAACAGATAGTCTTGTGTGCTGTTGGTGAGAGTGCAAATTGGGACAGCTAATTTGGAGGGTAGTTTGGCACAACTATCTATACTATTTATTAACATACTAAAAAAGGCCATGCCCTATTAATGAGCAATTGCAGCTTTGGGTGTCTACCCTAAAACACCTGCATATGTGTACTGAGGATTTCACACTGCAGCACCATTTCATTTATGAAAAACTGGTCACCACTGAAAAGGCCATTGGTAGAAGAATAGTGAGCTACATTACTGTGTAACACAACACAGTAGTCAAAATACCAGAGACCTGCTCATATACACAGCTTAATATGGAAAAACCACTAAGGCACATTGAGAAAGAGACAAATTTCAGAATGATAGATACAGGATATAGGATGATACAATTATATTAAAACAATTTTTTATATCATGTACATATACATAGGAAGTGGTCTAGAAAGACACATACCAAACTTGATCCTTATATGTTCTATTTTGACATTTTACAAGGATAAGGTCTTTATATATTGCTTATATAATTTCATTTGAAAATTTCAAAAATTCTGCACTACTTCTTGGTAATTTTCAATCTGTAATCTGAGATTTTTTTCATTGTGTTTTGGCATCTATGTTGTTCACTAAAATTGTTTCACCAGCGATCTTTGCTGGGGAAGAAATTGATACAATCCATGGATCTTATTCAGCTTTCCCAAGGTTTTCACTTGTCATTTGTGTGTGTATGAAGTTCTGCAGAATTTTGTCACCTTGGTAGGTCCAGGTATCCACTACCGGTCAAGAGACTGAACCACCCCGTTGTCATGACGACCCCTGCGCGCCCTTCACAATCACACCACCTACTTCCCAACAGTCCTGTCCCTAACCTCTGGTATTTGCTGATCTTTCCTCCATTTCTAAAATTTCCTCTTTCTAAACATTTTACATAAAAGACTCATTGTATGTAGCCTTTTCTGGTTGGCTTTTTTCATTCAGCATAATTCCCTGAAGATTCATTCAAGTTGTGTGTATCAGTAGTTTGTTCCTTTTTATTGCCAAGTAGTATTTCTATGGTAGAAATGTACCGCAGTTTGTTTATTGATTCACCCATGGAATGAAATCTGGGTTGTTTCCAGTTTTTGGCTACTACACATAAAGCTGCTGTGAACATTTGTGTCCAGACTTTTATGTGAAATAAGTTTTCATTTCTCTGGGATAAATTAGAGCAGTCTCTAGGTCACGTGGCGGCTGTGTGCTTACTCTGTAAGCAGCTGTCACGTCTGTGAGACTGGCTGTACCACTTTACGTTCCCACCAGCACGTGTAAGGGAGCCAGTTTCTTCACATCCTTGTCAGCATTTGGGGTTGTCACTGTTTTCTAGTTTACTGGGAGTGTGAGACGACATCTCTTTGTGGTTTTAATTCCCTAATAATTATGTTAAACATGGCTTCATGTACTTATTTGCCATGTGTATGGGTATCCTCTTCAGTGAAATGTGTGCTCCTGTCTTTTGCTTCTCTTCTAATTGGATTGTTTGTCTTTGCTGTTGATTTCTTTGCCTTTTCTAGATAGTAGCCATTTGTTGGGTATGTGGTTAGAAAATGTTTCTTGCTATTACTGAAATTAAGTTGGTACTAATTATAATTATAAAAATAAAAAATCAGTCTCCATGATCACTCCCCGACCATCAGTATTCCTTTCATTCCAATTCAATCCATACTCTCATTACAAAGATCTCTCCACATCTGAAGTCAAGTGCACTTTAGCTTGTAAGAGCAATGGGGAATGGGAGATAAAAAGTACTGTGCACTAGAGTCTAAAACCACACTGTGACAACCTTACAGTATAAAGAGTTGCGAGGCCCAGTGATCTTCAAAATGAAAACAGTCTCTGTAGGAAGACGAGGTGCTTGACCAAAAAAAGTATAAAATTCCTTTGCTTCAGGAGTTCAGGGCATCTAAGAGTCTAAGGCATACATTCCATTGGATGAGGCCAGCTATTTTCATAAAGAAAAGTTAAGGGATACCTAGTTAGCACAACTGTGTTCCTTTCGGTTCATTCTATCATTTGAATCTCTATTTTTCATCATCGCCTTTAATATACATACAACTATGAATGTATGTATATTTCCTGACCACTCTATGCTCTTGGTTTTCTTTTAAGTAATGGAGCTAAAATTTAAAAGTACCTGGAAATCAGTGAGGCAAGGGCAATACATTCAAATTTTTCAGTGGAACAGAAATCAGAAATTAGTCTCTTATGTGGTGACATGCCTTCCATGACAAATATGTCAATGTGATGTACTGCAGTGACACTGTGTATACAAGTAAATACATAAGAAATAACGGCAGCGATAAAGAAACCAGAAATGGCGGTATGTTGGAGATGAAGTCAACATGGAGTAGGATAAAATCAATAAGCAATTAAAAAATGATTGAACAAACTTAATAAGTTCACCAACCTATATGACTTAAAGAATCCAATCCTGCTGTGATAAACAGTGGTTTATTCTGATCCACACATATTGATTTGCTGCATGGATAAGAAAAAAAAAAGAATCTACTTTAGTTTGGCAATCAAAGTCCTGCCACACTCCACTGCAGACACGAGCACCAAGAGCTGTATTAGCCACTGGCGAGAGAGAGCCCCAAACCAAGGAGAGAGCGATTTTCAAACCTAAAGTGTAGCACTAATGAGGGTTTTACAGGAGAAAAAAGTGAGAGATTCAAATTACCTTAAGTCAAAACCAAGAAAACTAGCAAGATTAAGAAAATTACATCCTAAAATGATTGATTCCATTTGTAATCAATTAAGAAGGGAAGAAGGAAAGCTACTAAAATGAGGGAAAAGCAATAAATAAAGTTAGGGAAAGAAGTGTAATTGTATCATTTTATTTAGATGTTAAACTATTGTGTAACATTTTAGTTGTCAATCTGAAAAACACTTAATGAATGGAAGAAGCGGAAGAGAACATAAAGTCATCTCTGTAAGAACAGACATCTGGGGCACTTACCTGGTCAAGAAGTAAAAGACTGGTGAGAACAATAGTCAGATGAGACAGTACTGACCAAAAAATAATACAATAAAAAGACATTAAAATATATTTTAATTGTACCTTTTGCCAATGCCAAATGCCAACTGGTTGATAACTCCACGTATTTTTAGTAATAGAGCTTCTGATTTACTGGTAAACTGGAACAGAAAAACAAACAAACAACCCCCCCCCAGGAGAATAAATGATATAGCCTGTTTTCATAATCACAGAAGCAGGTAACATAAATATGGCTTTGAATAAGTACAGATTGCAGAGAGAACTGCTATTTATTTGCCCAATAAATACTTATGTTTGAGTAGACCAAAACAAAACAAAACAAAACAAAAAAACCAACAAACCCCTGAATAAAGGAAAAGAAAGAATTCTTGATAAATTTGTTTTCACGCCTTCTTCAAACTTCATGAGTGCACGATGTTGAAGGAACCTGTGTTGATGTACTAGTCATTTTCAGCTACTCCTCACTGCCCAAATGCAAACTGGTAGTTAAAAATAGGAGATGTACATCACAAAGGACTTTTCCATCCAAAGACATATTACTGCCTTCAAAGTACTTAACACGGGAGCTGCAAACTAGTCTAACAACACTGATGCTCAAAAAACAGTTCTGTAACTCCTCTTCTGAGTTGCCTTTGGAGCTTGTAAAATAAGCTGCTGAGTATTCTCGGTGGTGGTCTGTGACTAGGGCGAAATGACTACAACACTTTAGAGAATGAAAGGGAGTGGGTACTATTAGTAATTAAGTAGAGATATCAGGCAGCAACCAGAACATATGGTTACCCTAGAAATCTTTTAAGACTAACTTTGATTTTTGGAAATATGAAAAGTTACTAAGCCAAATCATAATGACTAAGATGTATGAAAGTGGAAAAATCAATCTTGATCCGAAATGAAATGTACTAGTAATGCAAAGAGATCAATTTTCAGGGTAAGATTCATTCTGGATTAACAGGCTCCCAAGAAAGGAATTCAGTGGAAAATACTCATGTGAATACATGAGATTTGATGCACTTATTTTTTTAATTGAAACAATTTTAATGCTTCTATCAAGACATTAAAAAATATAAAAATTTAAAAATATATAAAAATTAAAAAATACAATTTATATTCATTATTGTTATTACAACAATAATAATACTTATTATTATTGTATGCTAATTATTGCTCCCTATGTAGAGAGGCAAAAACCCCATTACAAATGTATTTCACTGAACCACAGGGCTGGGAGGACATGAGCAGTTTCCTTGTTCACAACCCCCCACCACCTGCCTTGGAAGTGCTCTCTGCACACTGCTGTGGAGCTCCTGTGTGGGTAAACTAACTGCCTAGGGACCCGTCTCCCAACACACCCATTCCGTTTTCAGATAATGGGAGCATCAGTAAGTTATTTCTTGTTTTGAGTGAAGTCTTCTATTGATTCCTTGTTCTTGACTCCAGGAGAGCACACGTACATTTACCCGGTTGTCCATGGAGCAGTCCTTCAAATGTTAGAGGTCATCACATCTAGAGGACAGAATATAACTTCATACTGCTCTTCATATGCAATAATTATAAGTCCCCTACCATCCTGGTGGCTGTCCACTGAATCTGGTCCTACTTAGCAATGCTTTTCTCTTTTTGTTTTTATTAACTTATTAGGTTGCTCATACTATTTGAATTGGTATTCTTGACTGAATTATAAAGTATCAACTATTGTGTTGAAAAAAAAACTGAGTATCATTGAAGGTGGTGAAGAAGCACCCACTCTCTCCCTTGCGCAGGGTGTAGGGTAGGAGTGGAAGTGAAATTCAAAGATGGGGCTGAAAATGTTGGCTGCTCCCTTCTCTGCTGGGGAAGCTAGAAAAGCTTCTGGTTCCCTTTGTGGTCCAGAAGGACTCCTCTAAACCCAACCTCGGGTCCTTTGGGCTTACAGAAAGCTGAGAGGAAGCCCTCCTCGAACGCTTTCCCTTGTCCCCAGTCTTCTCGGGTCTTCCAGGCCAAGTTCAACTCCAGGCCTGCTGTGGCCCGAGAGACCTGACTTCATCTGGATTTGTACCCATGAGACCAGACCACATCCTGATGGATCCTCAAATGGGGTCTGTTCCCAAAGAATAATAGGGGCTTCCCTGGGCTCACCAACTAAATATGGGGCCTTATCTGAGGCAAAAATGAGAAACTATGAGATATATGGTCTTCGCTTCTGTGCCCTAGAGGAGTTATTCATTGTCTGTATCTTTTCAAAATAGTAAAGAAGAATTATTTCCAAAGTACTCTGTCAACTTACTATGTAAGCAAATACAAACAAGCATAAAAGGTGATGATTTTAAAGAAAATACATAATGAAGTTTATTTGGAGTATTCTGAAAAGTAGAAAAATTTAAAATATAGATTGTATTTATTACTTTTAGTCATAATATACGAGTCAGGAAGGCCAGCGGCGAGGACATGTTGTTTCCAGGTTCCTGTGAGCACTTTGAATGAGAAGGGAAAAGGCCATTCAAATCAGCGGGGAAAAAGTATTTTTTAAAATAAACAAGTGCTTTTATTGTCTTACTGCATTAAAGGATACCCAGGAAATTTGGTTCTGCCATGGAAGATAATAGTGACAATAATTGTAGTAACCAGTATTTACTGAGCAACACTTTGTTTCTGGCCCTGTGCTAAGCATTTCACAGTATTCCCTCTTTTCCTGCTCACAACCCTAAGAAGAAGGTATTGGTTCTGTCCATCTCCTCACGGAGGAGGCTGGGGTCCAAGTATGATTAAGGGACTTGTCCGAGATCACCAATCTAGTAGCTGGCTGCCCTGAGATTAAACTTGGGCAACAGGCTGCTCCATCCATGTTTTTAACCTCCACAGCAAACAGCATGTTTTTAAGTTTAAAAAATAACACATTTTAAAGGTTCTCCCCACCTTTTCTTTCAACAGAATACAGATTTTAATTCCTAACAGGAAGCGAACATTAATAAATAAATACATATGTATGTACGTACATACATATATACATAAAACCACTGTATCTCTGTGAGATTGGGGTTCCGAGATACAAGCGATTCAGGGCTTTTGCACCAGAGAACTGGCAGGCCATCTAGCAGTGTGTTCCGTAGACACATAATAAAACACTGTGATGATGAGGGTTCTTTGGCAATGGGGGGAAAAAGAAGGAAATGATATGCAGTAGTAAAAGCATGAGTTTTTATAGCTGTGCATGAAGTTATTAGTGCTCCAAAGTCGGTACTGTGCATTCAAGCCCAAAGGACACAAAATGTACGAACCATTAATGATGCTCCATAATAATGTGCAACAAATCGAAGCGTCTTGCATATTACCTTCCTCTTCTCAGAGTCAAAATCCTGAAGAAATATGTTATTAAAATGAAAAACAAGTTGAGAGAACTAAACATCAGTAGCATGAAGATGTAAATCATTAAATATAGAAACAGCCAATTTCTTAGTTGTTTCTATTTCGCGAATGCTCCTGCAGAAGGGGGATTCCATTACCTTGATATTTGTCTCTCTAAAGAGTTGAAAAATAGCGGCCACTTTCTAGGGCTACAACTGCCAGATCTTCCCTTGTTTAAATACTTAGCTCAATAGAATTTAGAAATCAGCACACATTCCATAGAGTGGAATACCCTAAGGATTCTCTGACAAGCAAAGATAAGAAAAAACCAATTTTCTACTTTCTTCAATTTAAAAGTTGGGAAGTAAGTCCTATCCCTTAGTGACTGGGTTCAACATTCATTTCTAAATCTCCTACCTTATCCCCATTCCCCTGCATTTATTGTTCTTTACCTATTTTCTTTCCCAACTATATCTTCTTTTCTAAAATCTTTAAGATGTGTGACTCTTTGACTGCTCCCTCTGAGAGACACTTTCTTATTTCATTATTGCTTTTGTTTCTCCCCCAAAGCACAGACATGCATAACAAACTCAACGGGAAGTGGGACAGCTTACCTGAAAAATATCATATTTACTTCCAATTATGACCAGAGGTATCGGGAATGGGTCAATTAATTCACGATCCTGTTAATAAATATATTTCATTGATTTATTAGAATTACTTCCAAAAATATACCATTTTAAGTCTCTTCATAGATTTAACTGTGTTTGCTCGACATGGGGGTTGTTCCGATAATTAATTAACTTTCGCTTAATACACTGTATTTCTCAAGTATAAAATTAGAAACAGCAATTCCCTAAATTACTAAAATATATTTTCTTTTTTGTGTGCTGCCCTTTTCTTACATAACATGTTGTCTTCCTTTTTATTTTTTAAACTATTTTGTGTTAACTGATGCAATAGGATTTATACTGTGTTCGTTCGTGGACACCATAAGCTGTTAGTCTGTCCTGATATTACCTATGGGAAACACATTCACACGAACTCTGGGCAATGCAAAGTCCTGCTCTTAGTCTTCGAGAAGGTGACATTCATGGCTGTATTTAGGGACTTGCTTTGTCACCAGGGACTTCATAATTTAATTACTCTTCAGATGATAAAAGTACTGACTATGGGACAATAAATGAATGTAAAATATAGAACAGTGATGAAGGCTGTTTAAACTCTAACCTTTGCTCAAGTTTTTAGCTTCATTTAGTTTTTTGCCAGGTGATATTTGTATAGTCTGGTGTTTTAAATCTTTATTTTATAAAATCAATAGCAAACTGCTGCTTTAAAGCGATTTCTTTTGATTGGTGTAATATGCTGTAACAATCACAGAAGATGTCTAAGAAGACATAAAAAAATCTTTTCCCTTGTTTTGCTCTTACTGAAGTTTTATGAAATTGCTATAACCTTCCAGTGAGCAGGTACATTTATTTCAAATGAATCTCAAGCCATACATAAAAATTAGGGAAGTTTTTGTGACAGTATTTTTAACCATGTACGGGCTAAGGACTCCAAGGAGAATCTCAACAGCAACTCACTGGATGGTCCTTCTGCATGTTACTCCATGTCTTCTGTCTCATTTCAGAAGCTGCTTTGGAATCTGTCTTTCCCAGTTTCATTAGCACTTTGTCGACATGGCTTTTGGTGGCTTGCATCAGATTTTCCATGGTGGGCCAAAGGTCATTAGGTTTTGAAAGGTCCAAAACAAGAACAATGGAGAATGTCCTAGAGAAATTAAAAAAAAATCTTTAAAAAACCCCTTAAAATAATTACTACTTGGAAGCCCTACTATACTGAAAGTTATTGTCTAAGAATAACACTATGGCTTAAGAGAGAAAAACACAGAGATTTTTCTACACAAAAGAAAAAACCCCATAAAAAACAAAAAAACATAACACCAAAGCTATAGCCTTACTTATTTGAGTACTTTTTTTCTAGCGATATTTAAGTGTTATAACCAAGTGTTAGTGGGACTGAGGTGTCTGTCTGAACTAATAATAATTTAGTTTGATAACCTATAAGCCATTGGGTCCAACGATGCCATGTTTAGATCCAGTTCTATTCTGGATCTAAAGAAAGCAGATTTGCTGGTGGACCTTGCTAGGAGACTGCTTAGCTTATTCGACCTTCACAACAACTCTTCCAAAAAGATGCCAGGATCCATCTGATGGATTAGTAGTTTGGGGTGCAGGTTTATATACTAGGAGATGGTAGGGCTGGTTTTTGGAGTCAAAGCCTTGTGTCTCTGCTACGGCACGCTGCCTCTGAGGAAGCACACCCCTGACCACCACACACCGCCACCTGCATGTGCACTCGTGTTCCGCACCAGACGTAAACCTAAACCAAACAACCACAAAACAAAGGGCCCAGTCTAAAACTGGGCAAAGGACTCAGACAGTTCCCCAGAGAAGATATATAGATAACATATGAAGAGGTATGAAAGCATGATTAACATTAATCATTAGGGAAATACAAATCAAACCACAATGAGATACCACTTCGCACCCATTAAGATGGCTAGCTGTAATTAGAAAACAAAAACAAAAACACAAGAAAAAAACAAGTGTCGGTGAGGATAGAGAGAAATTGGACCCCTTGTGCATTTCTGCTGGGAACATAACATGGTACAGCAGCTGCCGTGGAAGACAGTACAGTTGTTCCTCACAGGATTAAACATGGAATCACCACTCGACCCAGCAACTCCACGTCTGGGTGTACGGAAACCAGAGACCCAGGCAGACATAGCCTCACGCAGATGCTCAAAGCAGCACTACACACAATAGCCAAAAGGTGAAAACCACCCAAACATCCAGCAGTGGATGAAAGGATAACAAAATGTGATATGTACAAACAATGAAAATATTACTCAGCCTTATAAAGGAAGGAAATTCTGACATACTACAATATGAATGAATCTCGAGGACATTATGCTAAGTGAAATAGGCCGGACTCAAAAGGGCAAGTATTGTATGATTTCATTTATTGAGTTGCCTGGAGTAGTCAGGTTCATAGATAAAGAAAGTGGAAGGGTGGTTGCCAGGGGCTGGGGGAAGGGGGAGTAGGGAGCTCTTGTTTAGTGGGGACGGTTTCAGCTGGGGGGTGGAGAAAGCTCTGGAGATCGGTGGCATGACGACTGCAGATAATGTGAATGCATTTAATGCTACCAAACTGCTCACTTAAAATGGCTAGGATGGTAGATTTTGTGATGATATTTTTACCGCAACAAAGAAGAAAAATAAATCTACAAGTATTTCAGAAAACTGTCATAATAAATACATACAGCCGTAACCGCGGGCCAGTATATCCTTGATCAACAGGGCAAACACTCTGCTAGTTGATGTAGAAGGAATTATAATACAGGGGTGTGCAAAAGTAGATTAATAATAACAAAAAATACAGTGATTAACCAATAAATAATAACATAAGAATAAACTGTGTTTTGTGTATTCATAATTGTAAACCTACATTTGCCCAGCCCAATATGTTACTTTATAGTATAATCATTTATTTTGCTTAATTTGAGCAAACAAGCTATTTTGTGTTAATTCAAGCAAAGCAGTAACTAAGTTCTATAAATTTAGAAAATAATGTTCCAGACATCATCAAGATTTCTATTAAATTACTCCGACACAAAATTGTCTGGCCAATCACATTTAAGCTCTTTTGATAACAGTTTTGCCTAACTGCAACAATATGATATGTGTATTGTAATAGTAAGGAAACTAATTTTATTTTCATGGATTTAGTATAACTAATGTTTAAAAAAGATAGCCAGGTTTAACATCTTTTTATTGTGGTAAAATATATATAAAATTTATTACTTTTCCAAATGAAAAATAACTGTGTTTTAAAGAAAAGAGAAATGAATTGTTCTAATGTTTTCCAAGATTAAAATTTGTGATTCCATTGTACTGGAAATATTCGTGTTACTTTACTCTCATAGCAAATGACAGCTAATAAAAAGTTAAAACAAAACAAAAAACCCAGCCTCTTAAAACAGGGGATTAGACCACAGGAGACACTCTATTACAATTTATCTAAAGTCTGTGGAAATGTTCAATGTAGCTATAATCATTTTATGAGAAGTCATTTTAAAGATAAACAATTCTAATAGCATTTGGCAATATTATTTTCTCAAGTTGCTGGGCTTTGTCCAACACAAGGAAATTATGTGTCAAATTAATTCCAGTCACAAAACACTCTGAGATTTGCAAGTTCATGAGGAGTGAAATGTTTTCCATGAATTCTTCAACCACTTAGCAACCTACTTTGGACCCAGGGCTATGGCTCCCCTTCCCTCTGTGTATAACCTTGACCTCTGCTTTTCCAAAAGCAGGCTCCAGCTACCATGGAGTTTAAGGAAGAGTGGGATTAGAGAAGTTGGGTATTAAAGAAGTGGGTAGAAATATTTGGCTTCCTACAGAAATCAGAATTTCCACAAGTGCAAAGGGCCCAGGTGCGACCCGGCCACGCGGGCTCCCCGGGCTCCTCCTGGCCCTGGCCCAGCCCCACGCTTCTCGGCTATGTTGCCCTGAGCGGCCCTGACACCCAGGCAGCTTCGCTCATTTTCTCTGTTACAGGAGGAAAAACAAAAAACTAGGCAGCTGTAAAATTCCATGTTTCTGAAAAATGTCATGAAGAAATGCTTGCTATTAAGTGAAAAGGCAAAATCTAAATGTGTGTATAAAACATGTTAAATCTGTACAAAGTATATCTACAAACACTGAAAACATGGAAAGAAATACTTTGACATGCTTACAGGGGTTATTTTTTTATGTGATCATGGGTATTCTTTCTTTGTACTTTTCAGTATTTTTCTAGTTTCCATATGAGCACATATTAAAATTATATTTCTTTAAAAGAAAAAACATCACTGGACAAATAAAGCTAACATTACCTGTAATCAGCTATGGGAAAATACTCATCCTGTTAATAAGAAATAATTCCATACCCTAATGATCTTAATGACTGATATAGAATAAATAATTGTCAGGCCCTCTGTATTTGGTCCAGACGGCAACCATAGTTTGTGTTAAACCCTGACAAAAGTAAGACATTTCAAATTTAAATTTTTCTGTTTTCGTTGACTCAGATGGGTTCCCAGGAACATTGTGAGATATGTCACAATTTTTCACATCTGATTTAGCTAACATATTGGAGATACTGTCAGGAAAACATCATCAAAGAGAAAGTTTGAGGTTTTCCCCAAAGTTCCGTTTCTTTAAGGTCAGCAAATAGATTTTCTCCCTCCTCTACCTTGTCCTCCCCTTTGCTGAAGCTTCAGCAACATAAATGAGCATTCAACTCAAAGGCAGGCTTATAATACCCAGCTGAAGAAAAACCTCAGGGTTGAGTTAGCTCACACTAGGATAAGTATTGGAAAGAATTCGACTTTTCAAATTTATTTCTGTCAAGTGACTTCATTGCACAAGTGTTATTTGACATATTTTCGTTTGTTTGTTTGCAGGCTTGCAAAATATGTTACTTGTTGGAATGCCAGCTCTATCACTTCAGCCCAGGCCAGAACCTCAGTCCTTTAAAAATCTCTTTGAAAGCATTACAGTTTAAGCACATGGAAAGGAAGTGAGCGCAGCAAGCCTTCCACAACATAAAACTGCCCCCCAAATTCTGACTCACAAAAGCGGACACAGCCACGCGGGGGTACCTACCAACACCTGTTTCTGGAGCTGCTCACTTACCTCAAGGTGTCACTTGTGATCGGTATGCTGATTAAGTCCAATAAAGAGGTTCCTCCACCCAGCTCCCAAAAGTGGGCAATATCTTTTGGCTGAAAAAAAGAAGTTTTTTTCCATATTACAAGTTTTGATTTTTTAAAATATTTTAAATACTTATTATACTTCATTAGCACCAGCCAGTACTGGTTATGGATATAAACTGGTGTAGTCTCCCATCAACCCTTTCTTGGCAGTCAAAACGTTCCTCTTTCTTTATCCCTCAAAATGCATCAAAAGAACTATTCCAAATAATGTTTCATCTATTCCAAAGAACAAAGATGAAACATTAAGAATATGTATGTATACGTAAATGGCCTAATTCTAGTTATGCCTTAATAGAAGACATAAACCGTGCCCCAATTCTGTAAATATCACGTGTAGCAGGCACGCAAATGTGATATAAAAACAACTAGTTGAAAACATTTCTCATTCTTCTTGAAAACAGTTTTAATTTTAGACAGAAATAAAATAGTTGAACAGGAAAACATCCTGATTTAGGGAGGCAGAAACTCACAAAATAAATTAGACATATAGGTAAGGCAGGAGGAGATGGGACAAGCAGACGGCAGTCCCAGCTGCAAGTCAGGATGACCTGAGTGAAATGTAAGCGGAGGATCTGTGCCCGATGCCCCCAGGGAAGCTGATGGGCAGACTCCCACTGGCAACACATGTGGCAGGTGGAGGAACAAGAAGAGACTAAACAACTGCTTCCTTTTTCATAGGAGTCTTAAGTATTAGGGGACTGAAAAGGTTAGGCAACCAAGCAGCTCAGTCAAGGTCATGGCAACCTTACTTAGACTGCTAGCTACCGGCATGTCTGCTTCTGCCCCGAGGCTGAGGTGCCTCTGGGACACAAACTCTGTGTCCCAACTGTTCAGCTCCGTGAAGAGCTGACAAGGTGCTTCACTTTAGAATGCTTAGAGAACATTAAACTGGAGAAAGACATGAATCTTCTAGAATGAATATGGATAAGCTCAACCTGACAGCATAAAGTTTAGAGAGAAAAAAATAGGTGAAAAAGAATCTTGTGAGTTTTTATGTACCTGTTAACCATGAACTTGGAAGAAACAGATGGTTATTAAAGCAGGTTTTAGATGAATATATACATATATGTCAAGAATATGTATTTTATATCTACTATATATATATTCTTGACAAATCATCTCACAATCTCTAAAATTGTTTTGCTATTGATATCTGAATCATTACTGTTTATAGAGAAAATAATTATTCATTGAAAAATCTCAATCGATTAACAATTTGATGAAAGGAAGTTCTTCCAGCTCTTAAACTTACGAAAGTTGTGTCAGAGTTTCCATTTCTAAGTTTACCACTCATGTCAAAATTCACATAAGCAACAAAAGTGAAGTTTTCCTGCATCTCAATATATTATGTTTTTTCTTTTCAATTTAATAACCAGCTTTCATTGCTGAATCCAGGAAGAAGCATCAGGCAGCTTTAACTCTTGACACGTTATCTAATGATCATTCGGACTAAAAATTTGCCTGTGCTATGGGAAAAGTGGGACCATCTGCTCCATTCTTCTATACAGCTAACTTTATTTAAGAATTGGCCTGCCCTGGCTGGTGTGGCTCAGTCGGTTGGAGCGTTATCCCATACATGAAAGGGCTGGGGGTTCAGTTCCCATCAGGGCACATACCTAGGTTGTGGGTTTGATCCCAGGTCGGGGTGTGTATGGGCGGAAACACGACTGCTGCTTCTCTCTGACATCCGTGCATCGCGCTTGCTCTCCCTCTCTTTCTCTCTCTCATATCAACGAACATTAAAAAAAAAGAGACAAATGGCCTCTTTCATGTGGGGACTCCAAAAAAGAACTCAATTTAGGTTTTTAAAAAATCCTCCTGACACTCTAAACTCTCCCTCTACCCTGAGTAACTTTTAATTTTCCTCAGAAGAGACACTAAAACAAGTGAAAGGAATAATTATAATCAATTAGAACCTGTATTCTGAAGTATTTTTACCAGCTTCAGGATGTATTTGCTGGTAATTTGCATTTTGAGCAGTACATTTTCATAAATATTCTGCAGGTCAAACATGTTTTTAGAAGATTTTTTGGGGGGAGACAGGAGGTAACTTATATTATTCTCATGTGAAAGAAGAAAAAGTCACACCAATACGATTATTAAAATATGTCCCAAATCCTTAAAGTGAAGTCACAAAGTAATCTTATTCTAGCATTAGGAGACATAACAGACGAGAAGGCTAACACATTTTTAGTTTGTTAGTTTCATATACACTGAGCTGCACTTGAAGTTTAAAAGCACATAGCTATGAAGCGTGCAGCTGGATACATTTATTGATTGCAGGTAAGATGGGAAATGTAAAGTGAAGTCAGCGTCATCGCTTCTCCGGCTGCAGATACAGCAACATCACTTAGAAAGACACGCACTGTGTTATGGCCTTTTGCTCTTCTTCCGTAGGTATATTCCAGAGCCAAGGTGGGTTTCGGTGGCTCATCCCTGTGCAATAAAGACAGACAGCATTGCCACAATTTTCATAAGCTATCTTCTTACCTGATTCGTTTTTGCTTCTTCTCAAAACTTTAATCTATTAGTGGAGAAGTTACCTTGCATAGTAATATTGATGTAACATGATTTAAAAATCATATAAAAATCAACAGGCCTTCAAAAAAACATCTTAATGGATTTCTGTGGCAGCTCAAGGGTGAATAATGGCACTTGCATGACCAGAGAGACCCTGTCGGGGCCAGGGGAGACAGCAACGGTAGAACGTGCCGATGGCTGGGCCTTCCGAATCTAGTCTACGTGACATGAGGTTTCTGCTCAGCCTTGTATGGGAGTGGGGAACCTAGTGACTAACAATTTAATGAAGACACCAGTGGAGACTTAAACACAGTTTTGTCTCTTAAATCACAGCTCAAACACAAGCATCACTTACCTAGTGAGAGCTATACCCAAATGACATGAGTAACCCTAAAATCGACAAATAATTTGAAAAATATTACAGTGATTTGATAAATTATTTACACTACAACTTATGTTGTTTGGTAAGCAGCTTTATGATATATTTATATATGATATATAAAAAAGTACTGTATAATATATTTATTTAACTTTTCTTATTGTAGTAGAGACACATAACAGAAATGGACAATCTTAGCCATTTTTAAAAAGATTTTATTCATCTTTAGATAAATAAAGGGGAAGGGAAGGAGAGAGGGAGAGAAATATCAATGTGTGGTTGCCTCTCATGCGCCCCCTACCAGGAACTGGCCTGCAACCCAGGCATGTGCCCTGACTGGGAATCGAACTGTTATCCCTTAGTTCGCAGGCCTGCGCTCAATCTATTGAGCTACACCAGCCAGGGCAATCTTAGCCACTTTTAAGTGCACAGTTCAGTGATGTTAAGTATATAGTCACACTGTTGTGCAGCCAAACTTTGGAACTTTTCATCTTAAAAAACCGAAACCCAAACCCATTAAACGACTCCCCACTTTCTCCCCTCGTCCAGCCCCTGGTAAGCACCATTCTGTTTTCTATAAACCCGACTCCTCTGGATACCTCATTTAGTGCATTACTCAGTATTTGTTTTTCTGTGACCAGCATATTTCATTGAGCATCTGTCCTCCAGTTTCACTCATGATGTAGATGTGATAGAATTTTGCTCCTTTTTAAGGCTGAATAAAATTTGTACTTATCTATTTTTAATTTTCAGGAAATAATTTTTAATTTGTGATTTAGATATTTGTGTTTATTGAATATTTTATATATTATCCCTGCATGTATCTTTCACACATATATAGAATGATATTTGGTTTTACTTCCTGAAAAGTAAATATTTCCTTTATGAGCCCTGGCTGGTGTGGCTCAGTGGATTGAGAGCCAGCCTGTGAACCAAAGGGTCACTGCTTCAATTCCCAGCCAGGGCACATGCCTGGGTTGCGGGCCAGTTCCCCTGGTTGGGGGCATGTGAGAGCTAACTACACATGATATTTCTCTCCCTCTCTTTCTCCCTCCCTTCCCCTCTCTCTAAAAATAAATAAATAAAATCTTAAAACATTTTTTTCTTTATGAAAAAATGCTGCTTTTAAGACAAAATTTGTAAGAAAAAGAATTGAAGAATCCTCTTTGAAGAATTGTCCTTTTTCTAAGTAGACTATCGAGGAACAGAAATGCCTAATTCTCAGTTCAGTTTAGTATTTCCTCCCGGGCTGAGGCTGTGCTGGGTGACCCGTCTGTGCTGGGAAGTGTGCCGGCCTGCGAAGGGCCGTGATTCCCGGGGTGGGAGGACGATGTGGGTGTTTCTTCCAAAAAGCAATTTTGCTGATAAGAGACATTATGCAAAACCAGGATCCTTTTATTTGTATTCTTTAATAATATCTTTCAAATGAACGATGTTTTTTTAATGTGATCTTAAGACCAAGTTCCATCTTTTGATGTTTTTGGAAAAATTGTAAGAAAGGCATTGGAATAAAGGGAACAGAGAAATATCTTCCAAAATTGGTTGGAGGCTTTTCCTTATCAACTTTCTGCAACACCTACCAATTATAATACTACATCTTAATCTGATGTCATGCTTCTACAGCATAGAAGGTTAAGAAGTATGTATGAGAAATGGTAAGATGTACACTTTGAGAATCAACATTGTGCTTCAAAATTGTATCCATGAATAATTTAAAGATTATGACTAACATTCAAATAATCAAGGACTAGATAGAATAAAAATAATTTAACTATCATAGAAGCATAGCCAAAAAGAAAGTACTAGCAAAGGCTGTGTAGTTACATTAATTTCTCCACTAATAGGAAAATGCAATATTGATATTATAGAATTTTTTGTTTGTTTGTTGTTGGTTTTATATTAAAGAATCTCTTAAAGGCCATACTAAAGATTCACTAAAAATTAAATTATTTTGTTTGGTCCTCAAAGTTGTTCTCCCTCCATTTGTCTTTTAGCATCTAATGTACCCTATGCACCCAGAGTAAGCAAAAAAACATAGTCTAAAGTTTAACGTAACACTTACCTGTCAAGACACCTTAGGATAATAGTAGTCTTTCCCTAGAATTTCAAAAAAGCAATATTGTGTTAATGTCACCCATATGTAAAATTTTACAATTGTTCATAGTTGTGCCCAAAATAGCTTTTTAATCACTTGAATGATAAATTACCTGGAAACTAGAAATTTTCAGAATTGTTCCTAAGTTTGATAAGTAGAAAAAGTTAACTGTCAACCTCCCATCACAGTGTAACAACACTGCTATTATTATAATTATAAAGCCCCTCAGATGACAAACACTAGCAAATCACACCTCCCTTTAGTGGTCAACTTGGCAGCTGTCTTACACGTTCTCTTTGCTCATCAATGCTAATTACTGGTTAAGCGGATGATTAGTGTCTCCTAATACATCTGAATGCCAATTGTTGAAGCAGAAATAAAGACAAAAGATAACATACAAATAAAGGACACGTTGCCAATATTTTCAAAGTAAGCAATCCAGAGTATTTTTGTGTTTTAATTCTAGAGGATATACTTATTCTAATCATTTTTTAGGACCACACCCATAAATTATTTTAGTAAAAGTAATTTAAAATACAAACAGACTGTAAAAAAGGGCCCGATCTAATCAAATGAAGAACACAAACAACAGCATGAACGAAAGACGGATCTCAAGCTCAACCTTAGCGAACAGGGTGATGGTAACTACATGTTTCTGCACAATAACAAAAGCTCAGCATCTAGAAAAAGAGAAGCTGGCAGACCTGCTCCTGTCTATTGTTGTTAAACAAAACCTGAAAAATTCTGTTCCATCCTGAGAACTGCACATTAGAATAATTTTAGTTGAGGGTTACTAAGACCCTCACGGAGAATTTATGACTGATATGAAGTACCTGACATAGAAGACCCGGCTGAATGAAATGAAGACAAGTTCCAACAGATACTCAGGGAGATACGGTGGTTGCCATTAACCATTTGAAGGGCAACTTTACAATATGTGAAGATTGAATAAGTAGAAGAGGAATCCAGGTTTATTCCTATAGTTTCACAGGTAAGAATTAGGATCTGGGGTGGAAGTAAACAATGAAACAAAGGAAGTTTTCTACTAACTAGGAATTAACAAATACTGAGACAGGCTGCAGTTGTGGAAGAGATAATTCAAACCTAAACTATACAACCACTGATTGCAGTGGCCCTTCACCTTTCTGGAGGTGCTTGTATGCTGGGAAAAACCTAATTTTCCAGAAAAATGTACTGATGCACAAGCATACACAATTTCGCATACATTTCTAGGGACTTCACTGGCCCCGAGAAGTACCTCCACGGTCCCCAGGGTAAGAATCCTTATTGTAAAAGACTAGAACGGCTCCAAGTTTCCTTCAGTTTCTGTGACCCTTGTTACGGTGAGCAAAGGCTACATGGTTCATGTTTTTATTATCTCCATGTGCATTGCAGTTGTACAAGTGACCTATGAATGTGACCATCAAATTGGCATTTATGGTGCCTCTGTGCGAATGGGGAAGAGATGACTCCTCTGGGCAGTCTAATTAGAAACAAGTGCCCCCTCCTCCAAGCTGCTGTGGCCCACCGCATGACAGCTGCTCAGGCTGATGTAAGTACCCGCTCACCCATGAGTAGGACACCCTCATATGGGGCACAACAGGCTCCAAAGGCACCAGCAGGCTGGAGATTCATTATCGGGTTAGAGTGGTAGTATCCACTTTTTATCAAGGTATTAATATAAATGTTACTACTGGTTGTTATCACAATAATTGAAAAAAAAGTTGGAAAAAATGTATTACCCCATTTTTACTGCCAATGAAGAAAACAGATTTTTCTCCAGTTTCCACGCCATCACCTTCACTTCCATCACTTCCCCGTTTTTCCACTTCAGCTTTTGCAATTTCCCAGAGAGTTTCACTAAATAAGAGGCAGAAAAACAAAATTCAGAGAAGAAGAATCCTTTTCAATATTTATTTCCAGCTCAGAGAAATTTTATTTCAGTCAAAATTTTAAAACCAATCAACATTATTTTCTGGGGGGGCAATGAACTGGTACAACCTCTGAGGATCAGTCAGAATGTGCTGTTTCATCAAAGAAAGATGAAAATGATATGCAGAACCTTTATCGGCAGGACTTGAAGGTTTCTTATTCTGGGCCTTCCAGTCAAGTTTGAAAGCTGGACACGTTAGATTCTGACACACATGTGAATGTACAACTTTGGAACATGTACAACTTGCGAAGCAACATCTAGGAAAATGGGGGGATGTGGAAATCAGTGTCCCAAATAATCTCTGCTCCCTCAGCTATTTCTACTTCTTAAAAATTATATTTTGGGCTCAAGATTCCCCTATTTCCCCCCTATTTTTAGTGGAGAAAATATAAAGAAAAAAGTCACCCCAAATCACATTTTGAAAATCATTCTTTCATTTGTATCTCTGCATGCATATGTAATTTTACATACATAAGATTATATCCTTTCTAACTTAAAGCCTACATAAAAAATGAAGTATTGAACTAAAAAATATGAGCAAGATCTGACATGTTTGTTGTAAACCTAAATCTGCTACTTTCTATGTATGCCAACTTGGGCAAATTTCTAACTTCTCTGGGTCCTTCATTCCTTCAACAAGTGTTTATTGGGCACCTAATATATGCAAGCTTCTGTACTAGTCCCCAGGCTCACCTCTGTTTCTTCATCTTCAAAATGCCAAGAAAAAAAAAAGAATACTAACCTCCTAAGATTGTCATGATTGATTATTAAAATGTATCACTTAGTTTAGGGCTTGGCCTATATATAATTACCTAAAATAATTGAGCGCTTATAATAATTTTTATTCAAGAACCAAGGGTGAAGAAAGGGGCTATAGAAGACCAAAATTGGTGTCTCTAAATATGTGCACTAAAATCCACACACTTTATTCGGCGAGCCCCCAGGAACTCAGTCCAGGCCTGTGTGCTCTTTATTTACATACGTGGTTAGCGGCTGTCCAAGTTCTCGAAGAGAGGAGAGAACGAGGTGCTGCAAGCAGTTATGCCACTGGTGGAAATTTATCCCTAGAGCCAGAACTTTATACTTGTAACCAATTATACGATAATGCGAAGCTGACAATTTTTTTGCACTAAGATTCATAGGCTCCTTAGAGATCACACCGCCGATCCGCAGGGTGAGAAAACCCTCTCTCCCCTCTGTTCCTGTAAGTTGTTCAGAGAAGGTTTAGGCATGTCCTTGGGAACAAGTAATTAAAATTGGCATCATAGATTTAAAGAGCTAAGATGTATTAGATGTCAATATCCCCTCCTCCACCACTCTCTTTTAAACGTGATCCTACACTTTCTAGTGCTCTCGCAAGTTTCCCCTTGTTTACTACTGTTGTGAACCTCTGCACCAGGAGGGGATGTCCCAAGTGGCTTTGTGGTCTAGTTCACCGCCTGAACCCCTGCTCCATTCCCTGGCCTGCAAAAAACTTTTATTGAATAAGTGAATAGCTGGAGTTGTACATGTTTTGATGTTGTTTCAAAATCTCTTTTCTACTTTGGGAACTTTTCTACCGACTTTGGTCAGAATCCGCAAGCGCTAGAAGGGTAGTTCCTATGGGTCTTCGACAGGGGTTGTAAGCAGGAAAGACCTACACTTTTCCTCCACCAACTGGCCTCCTGCGGGCTCTTCTCCCGAAATATACCCCCAGCGGCCTCTCCCTCCCTCCCTCCCTTTTCCATGCTAGGGTGGAAAAGAGGGGAGGCTATTGAGGAGAGCGTAATCCCTGGGCAAGCAAAAATGCGGGATACCTGGGCATCGTGGCTCTGCAGACTCCGGGTCCGAGATCGCGTAGGGGCCAGTTTAGAGTTACACCGCAAGCTCAGACCTAGTCTGTGGAATGTAGGCTCTTCAGTTGCCATGGCAGCAACGTCACAGGCTGGGTCCGTGTGGAAGAAGGGCTTTATGGGATATGTAGTTCTCAGAGTTTTTTCAAGTCTCAAACTCTGTCTCATCCCCCAGAACATGAGAGAACGAAGTGATACGGTAACAAACCTTTTGACTGAAAATCGCTCGACTGAAAGTGTTCTTTTATTTAAGAAATTTTTAGCGAATATATGCCAAGATTCTCCTGTCTCGCTCATTCTCTCTCTCTCTTTCTCTCTTTCTCACTCTCTTTTTCTCTCTCTCCCGCCTCCTCCATTTACTTTTATCTCCCCAATGGCGATAGTTTGGAAACGGAGAGTGAGGCAATCTCCTGAGCTGTTTTCTAGTGATTTACCAATGAAAAAGAATATGATTTTAGTATTTCACAACTCTCTGCTTGTTTAGTTATTTCGGGTTTTATGCAAAAGCACACCATTTATTAATAAGTTAATAGAGAAAATGCATCTCCACAATACTTGACTTACTTTACCTCCAAAGCAATAACAAATTCTAAGTTATTACTATGAGCAAGACTGTGCTACACAGAGTAAGATGAAGAGATAAGACAGAAGATCCTTACCCTTGAGAAAAACAATGCTAATTATAATAACCCAAAGGAAGCCAGTGATATAAACTATTGCAGAGAAGTATCAAATATTACATAAGAACAAGTGGCTAATTATGCCCAATGGTGAAACGTTCATGGCAGTGACGGTATTTGATCTGTGTTGAATGCTGAGTGGCTCCAGGCTTTCTAGCTCATGATGTCCTGGATATTTGAAGGAAATATTCTTCCTTCACCCTTCTGCCAGCTGGCTTGGTTTCCATGGTGTAATGTCCAGGAACATGGACTTTAGAGTGAGATAGATGTGGATATAAATTCTGACTCAGCCACACTGGCTAAGTTGCCACATTGTCACAAGGGGTAAATTACTCAGTTTTTCTGAGCCTTAATCTCCAATCTTGCAGAGCAAGGGAAAATGAGTTTATAATTTTATATATATGTAATATGTTGTATATAAAACATAAGATATATAAGTGTATACAAACACACACACATATGCCTGCCACATTGTAAGTGCATAAAGCTTGTTATTTTCATGTGTCAAGCTGCTGATCAGCAACTTTGAACAAGGGAACAAAAGAATCACATTCTTGGAAATGAAGCAGGTGGTTGGGAGGGAGAAAAAAAAGGCAATCACTTCAGATAAAATCTCCCAGGACAAAATCCTCCTAACACGTAGGTGCATTCTGGAGACAGAAGACTCAAGCAAAGTAATGGGAGTGGAGTTCAATGGGAAAAGGATGATTGCAAAGCAGGTCGATACATCTATCATTGAATCAGCATCTATTAGTGTATCCTGGAGTTAGCCAGCCATAAGCTCACAAACTAATGTGGAACTTTGGATCCCTTTGCATGTTAGTTAGGAAGCCCTATTGATATGGATAATAACCGTAGCTAATGTTTTGCCAAATGTACTTGCTATGTACTAGTCGCAGGACTGGAATTTTAAAAGTATAATTGTTTGGGTAACTGGTAAGGAGGAAAGTGAAGATTATCTGGCTGAGCCCTGCTCACCAGCATTGACTCAGTTGATTCACCTGGTCTGATTGAGCATTGATTTCCCCTTTCTGCTCTTATGCCTCCTGAGGTTTTATACTTGGATGAAGTGGTATTTCTTGGTAGTTGAAAATTGTTCTTAAGGTAAGAATATACAAAATTTGAACCCCCCCCCACTAGATAACCTCAAGAAGACTCAAGATTTCAACAGTGGTGATGGAGGGGGAGATAATTTTACGCTGCTTGCTGGATGGAATGAGCAACAGTGCAAAATGATAAAGAAGTGTGCTGAATGGTATTTACTGATCACCCCAAACAGTGAATAGTTTGAGGTGGAAATCTATAAAGTTTCTAGTGGGGCTAAGATGGGAGAGCAAACTGGACAAGTAGATTAGGCTACAGTGAAGGATCTTGCAGTCTGGATTTTTCTGTGTTGATTGTAAGAAACCAAAAAAGATTTTAAATAGGGATGTGTCATGATTAGACCTGAATGTCAATGAGATAATTTCTTGCAGCTGTGTGAAGGATATTTTGGAGCATGGAAGTCCATATGGAGGCAATTAACAATGGCCCAGAAAGTGACAGATTTTTTATATTTTCCCGCTTGTTTTCAAAGTTACATAAGCTTATTGTAGAAAAAAGTAGGGTACAGAAGAAATGGAGAGAGTAAATATGCAAATCCTAGAAGTAATAAGTATTAAATATTTTGGTGTATTTCATTCTAATCTTTTTTTCTTATAGAGTTGAAAATTTACTGTAAAGTTAATTAACACTCTGGTTTGAACATGTATTGCCTCATCTCAATTAAAAAACATGGTAATATAACTTTTATAGCTGCATAATACTTCATTACATAGATTTAAAAAAATAGACTTAAGTATTCTCCTAATATTGAGAGTTTGAGGTGGTTCAGAGTAAACACCTAACATGAGTTGGTCTAATCAGGGCCCTTCTCTAGTTGTCAAACTAGAAATGAGAAAATCAGGTCATTCGCCCTCTGGAGGAGACTGGCATGTTTTCTCCCAAATGAAGATGGTATTTTGTAGTGAGAACAAGAAGAGTAATGTTCTCAGACACAGAGTCATATGAAGAGAAAGTGTTGGCACATGCCTCGTGGTTCTGGTTGTCTCTGAGGCTCATCTGTGTCTTCATCTTTTTTTCTGACCTGGTTGTCCTGTCCTCTCTCTCTCTCTGAGACGTCCTAGTATTTGTGTGGTGAATTTTTTTCTTGTTTGTCTGTTAGTTCGAGTTGAATTTTGGAATTTACAAGAAAAAAGAGTGCTGTCAATTAATACAATAATTGCTAGGCAGCAGAAAGTGGAGCTCGGGGAAAGGAAGAAAAGTCAATGTTTCTCTCTCAGGTGACTGATAAGTTGATGACCCTGTCAACCTATTGTTGGGGGGCCCAGAGGAGGAGAACCAAGATTGAGGACATGGTGAGTTTCAGACACCATCCAATAGACAGACCATTTGGAGTCCATTGCATGTGGCAGTTAGGAGATCAATGGTAACATATGTAAAGAAGTTTCAGTAGGTCCGTGGGACATTACATCAGTGTTGATGATATCACATCCCAGGGGAAAAATAATCTTATAATCTATGCATTATCCAGAAGTTAATAACTGTCCTTAGTGCTCCCTCCCGCTGCCTCCAGCCCTTGGCAACCACCTTCCTACTTCCTGTTTCTGTGACGTTGGCTACTTCAGGTATTTCATATGAATGGAATCATAGAGTGTCTGACTTTTTTGTGACTTATTTTGCTTAGCATAATGTCCTTGGGGTTCATCCATGTTGTAGCATGTAACAGGATTTTCTACTTCCTTTTTAAAAACTTGTTTAAAGACGAAATTCTTAATTTTTATAAAGCATGCATTAACAGAATTTCCTTAAGGCTACTTAATATTCTATTGTATGTATATACCATATTTTCTTTATCCATTTATCTGTTGATGGACTTTTGTGTGGCTTCTACCTCCTGGCTATTGTGAATAATGCTCTGATGAGCGTGGATGTGTACATATCTCTTTGAGGCTTTGCTTTGACTTATTTTGGGTATATACCCAGAAATAGGATTGCTGGGTCACATAGTAATCCTATTTTTAATTTTCTGAGGAACTTCCATATTGTTTTCCATTATGGCTACACCATTTTATATTCCCACCAACAGTAAGTACATGGGGGTTCCAACTTCTCTGCATCCTCGCCAACACTTACTATTTTCTGTTTTGCTAGTGGCCATCCTGATGGGTGTAAGTTGATATCTCATCAGGGTTTTGCTTTGCATTTCCCTAACGATTAGTGATGTTAAGCATCTTTTCCTGTGCTTATTGGCCACTTGTATATCTTCTTTGGAGAAGTGTCTATTCAAGTCCTGTGTCCATTTTAAAACCAGGTTGGTTTTTGTTGTTGAACTATTCTGAGTATTAACCCATTATCAGATATAAGACTTGCAATTCGGAGGACTTCCGCCAAGATGGAGGTTTAAGGTGGATGTGCCTTGCCTCCTCACACAACCAAGTTTAGGGACAACTAAATATTAGCATCAGAAAACACAACCAGAACACGGAAAACTGAACTTTTCGGAAGTCCGCTAACAACAAATTCTTCGGCCCGACCGGTAAGGGGCGAAACCGGCGTCGGGTGAGGAGTTACAAAGGAGTCGACCCGGGTGCGGAATCCAGACGCGCGAATCCAGTCGGGGTTCCAAACCCAGGATTGGACCTAGTGAGCTACCGAGCGGCCCACCGGGTGAGCGACTACGGAGGAGTCAGTGGGGAGGCGGTGGCAGCGAGTTGACTGAGGTTGCATGGTTGCACGCGCGGGTGAGGGAGTGAGCGCTTGGACCGGCGGCGGCGCCATTGCCATTTCCCTGCTCTGACCACGCCCCCACATACAACCCAGCGACCTGGGAATCCAAGGCGCCGCTCCGCCCACTTAAAGGGCCAGAACAGACCAAAAATGTCGCAGGAAGACCTCAAAGCCCCAGAGATAAATCTAAGTGACGAAGAAATAGCAAATCTCTCAGACGCACAGTTTAAAACACTGGTCATCAGCTTCCTCACAGATCTGGTGGACTATAGCCACAAATTAGAGAAACATATGAAGGCTAAATTAAGGGAAATGAATGGAATTCCACAGGAAAACCATAGAGATGAAAAAAAAACTGGGACTCAAATCAATGGAGTGAACCAGAAGGAAGAAAAAAATGATCAATCAGAAAGGAATGAAGAAATAAGAATTCAGAAAAATGAGGAGAAGCTTAGGAACCTCCAGAACATCTATAAACGCTCCAATATCCGAATTACAGGGGTACCAGAAGGGGGAAAGACACAACCACCAGTGGAAAAACTATTTGAACAAATAATAAAAGAAAATTTCCCCAATCTGGCAAAGGAAATAGACTTCCAAGAAATCCAAGAAGCTCAGAGAGTACCAAAA